ACAAATACATTGAACACAGCGATCACTGTAATATTTAACAGCTAAATATTTCAATCATTTTCATAGTTCATAACAATTTTTTTTTCCAATGAACTATTAAATTATTATTAGTTTTTTTTTGTTTTCGAGTTATTTTAGAAACGTATACTCGTAGGATAATATTTTACATTAGGTATACGCCGAAAATTGAAAATCTGCTGATGTGTATACGCCGTATACCCGCGTATACGTACAATACACCCCTGCCTTTAACGATATTTTCTTTTTGTAATTCTCATAACTCATAACTTATAAATAAAGCAATCATATTTGTTGTATAACAACAATAAAATGCATATACCATGTAAAATATATATTTATTGTTAGTTTATAACTTATGTATGGTGTATTATTACTATTGTTTCATCGGTGTTCACCGAAATTATTTTTGATCAGGCAGGCCGTATGGGTTCCGCGCCGACAATATCTGAGGTATTTTTCGTATTTTTAGAAAGCATATTAATAAATTATAATCGGTAATGCTTATATATTATTAGTTGATCAATTTATTGCTATTTTAAACATCCTTTTTTATATTTTTTTTAGATTACATAGTAATTTAAGTCAATTTTACAAAAATAACTATGTTCCAAATCTATTTAACTGATAGAAATATTTTTCGATGGCAATTTCTTTTATGTTTCAATCGTTAATCGTTTTGTGTTATGTTATTTAATATTAATTTTAATCGTTTTTCGTTTCTGTTTCGTTATCTATTATCGATTTCAATCGCTTTTTGAATAGTTTAACGTTATAAAAACGCTTTGGTGCCCTGGTATGGACACTAAGTATTGTTATAAAATTATTCACATTAAAAAAATTTGAAATGTTTATCTCACATATGATCAATTCCTTAAATACGGATTCGAGGGGGGGGGGGCGATCGCCTACCCCCCTAAAATACGCTCCTGATCTGACGGTTATACAGTTAAAATTTACATAACATCGTATTTTATAGATTTTCACTTTAATTTACTCTTTATTCATAAAATGTAGTTACATACTAAGTTTTGTAAATCTATACCATTTTAATACTCATAGATGACAATTTTGTATTCATTTTGACTTGATCAACATTCGGGTATTCTTGCATGTTAAAAACATCCACCCACTTTCAAAGTACATGTGCCGTCCCTAAATCCTATCATAATACTTGTAATTTATTAATTCAGAAAAATACATTTATGATTTAGTTACCTAGGTACATTAAATACCAAATTCTTTTAAATCAAAATACATATATAAACATTGATCTAGCATGAAAAAAAAAAAAAAAAAATTTCTTACTGTCTTCTTCTTAAATTATAGTTCTATACTTATTACATAATATACAAAAATGTGTTCTTGAAAAAAAATATATTTTTTTTAAATTAATTATATTAAAATAATTAATTATTTTTATTAAATAATATGAGATGTTTAAATAAAAATCATAAATTTAGAAAACTATATTTTAAAGAAAATGTATTGTTTGTCAGTATATTTCTATACTGTAACTCATTAATATTTTAGGTATGTAAAATCAGCATAAACTTTTTTCTAAATAGATTTTAAGCATATTTTCTATAAAAATAATAAAATAACTTGATTTTAGATGCATTAAAAACTGTAAGCCGTTATCAAATCCATCAAATGACATACATTTGGAGACAAATATGAATTTAATAGGCAATAAATTTGAATGGTATTACCAAACATTTGACGATACAAATATGTATCCAGTAGTTAATATTACATTGACAGATGTACCAATTCATATGCTTATAGTGAAAAAAAATATGTTAAATTATGGAACAACTTATAATTTTATTATAATGTGTAAGTTTTAATTTATCACAAGGAAACCTGTACATTTCGTTAAATTTTACAGCAGTGGTAATACTCGTATATGGCTTATTGACTCATAAATGTTTTTAATATATTGTTATCAGTTATAACTTATTAGTTTTTACTTATTGCTTTTATTATTTGCTAATATATTTTAAGACTAGCATACAGTCTAAAATTTCTATGTCAAATGATTAAATCACTCAAATTAGTTTTTTTTTTTTAAATGTCGTTCAAGTATAAAATTAATACATTTTTATTGATATAAAAATTATAGATCCAGAATTTGAATTGAAAAATAATATTTCTATAACAACTATTTCAAAACCAAAGCCTGGAAACTGTACTATAGAACCTAAGTCAGGTTTAGCGTGGAAAACTTCATTTACTATTAAATGCAATAATTTTAATAATGAACATAATTTTGAATACTATCAAAAAAATAAAAATGACCATTCAACTATGGGTAAGTCACTGAAAATAAATATAATATCAAATTAATTAAAGAGTTAGAATTGTGTATTTTAATCAGTTCAATTTTTAATTAAAGGAGTATTATTAGATCAAGGTAGTGGAACCATGACTAACATTAAGCTAACCTCATCCAATAACTTAACAGTAAAAATAGTAAACAAATATGGAGCGTCTATAAAAGAAAATTTAACTGTGAACGTAAATACTAACCTCTATGGTCGTGTAAACATATTTAAATATATTTTTTCGTTAACCATTAATCATATTTAGATATCAGAATGTAATACACATTTAATGAGCAAATTATTTCATACATTAAAATCTTGTATGAAAAAGAAAAAGAATTCAAGTATTATTATTTATTTTATTAAAAAAATGTTTGGATACATTAATATTGATCATCAATTATTTTGTAATACAGGAGCTGTCTCGTTAATAGCAATTTTGAGTGACGTACTTCATGATAACCACATTAATAAATTTCATAAATTGTTTAAAACATTGAAAAATTTAAAATTCAACAAGGTATTTTAAGTTTAAAATTATGTATATCAATATCAAGAATACTTTATACTTATAATAATCAACTTACTTTTATATTTTTTAAATATTACACTTAATATTTCTAATATGAGTTAAAAGAGACCCTCATATGTAAAAAAATATTCTTCTAAACGCGATAGCTATAACAAATTAAAACATACATCTACACATTAACTACCTATCATCTGCAAAATAAATGTGCGCATTATACAGTGTTGTATTAATTAGATTTTACTTTATTACATTTTCAGATACCTCTTAACAATTATATTTTTTCTATTGAACAATTTGTACTAATTCTTCAAAAGGTTATAAATGATTACTATAAATTCAATGGCAATAAGTTTGAAGCAACTGATCTTTTAAAAATATCTAAACAATTGCTTAGAGCTTCCAGTGCATTATTTGATTATGTAATAACATCCAATGATGACGATAAATTTATAGAAATTAACAGAATTGAACGAATAAAGAAGTATACATTATTTCAATCAATAGTTAATGATATCCTTAAATGCTATTTTAAAATCGTTATTTCTTTATAACAGGGAACTTAAAAAAAATATGAATTTGGTACAAATTAATATGAACAACTATGAAAAGCCAATTATTGATAATACTAGTCGTTATTTTTGGTCGTCGTTTGACAAAGTAATATCATTATGTTTATATCATAACTATGTGTTATTAATTTTATTGTAATTTATTCATATGTATATAATCTGCACGTAGTTAAAGATAATGACACAAAATATAGAAGACTTCATTAAAACATTTGGCAAATCTATTATTAATGAACTATTGCCTTATGAAAGACCAATAGTATGCGATGATGAGATTAACGATTTCAAAGCATGCGTATAGAAACAAATAAAAAAGTATAAAATACACTCTATACAAGATAATTAATTACAGATTTTAACACCAAAATGGGTTATAAACCCGTCCTCTCAATGGAATTCACATCCAATTTTGTTTGATACTATCGGGGAATCGTTGTCGAATGAAATTCGATTAAAAGGAGGAAATTGGGGAATAACGGTACCAAACTTTATTTTTTCCAGTAACTAATGAGTTATTATTAGTTTTATTGATTATAAATATCAAACTGATAAATCTAGAAACATAATATAAAGAATAATTTAATGCAATCATTCTATCAAGTCAATGGAAGCCAGATCATCATGCCAATTATATCGTTGAATATTTTAAATGTCGATAATTCAAATTTAAAAAATATAGAAACATTCAATCAATTTGAAAACAATATAGATTTTATCTTAAAAACTAACAATACTATAAAAAGACCATATAAACACTATACAATATCAATTAATACCGGACAAAATAATAGTATTGAATTAGATAAATCAATATTGGTGTATAAAATAGATATGCAAAATATCGGAGAATTGTTTGTTACGCTAAGTGATTCTACACATGACTTACGCGCAAGTTATTATAATGAAAACAATTATTTCAAATCATTCATTAAACTAATTTTTTATTTTCATTATATAGTTTACGTGGATAAGAGATAGTAGACCAGATAAGGCAATAATGGAAAACGAAACCTATTCGATTAAATTAGAAGCCGGTTCGACGAATGAATTTACTTTAAAAACACTGGGTAAACATCGAGATGAAATACATTATATTGGTGTAGCAGCTAATATGGTAATAGAAATACAATTTAAAAACTAATTCAGCAACTAAAACAAAAAAAAAATATACATATATACATAAATATTTACAAAGAAAATATTTAAACTTTAATAGTTGTAATTTGAAAATATATTATATTGGTTTTAGAACGAACAAATGATACACAATTTTAGTGTAAATTTCTCAATGGATATAATTAGTCAAAAGTGCTTGTATTGGACTGGAGCAAAATGGGCCACAGTCGGGATAACTGTATAAGCATGCAAATTGTTATTTATAGTTGTACACGTTTTGTTTTTTATAAATTATGTTCCGTACAGGTTGGTCCCAAAACTACCGAAAATAATATTCAGTGTCTAGTTAACCACACGTCGTTGTTTAGTGGTTTGATATATACGTTACCCGATGTAGTAAATCCTATTGAGGAATTTTCTCAAGTCGGAGCTATTGAAAACAATATGGTTTGTCTATTAGTAGTTGCAACGGTCTTTTTAGCTTATGCGATATTACTCATTTGGTCAAAATATCAGGATAATAAAGACATTTTAAGGGTAAAATATAAGATATTATAATGACCTAAGGTTTACTCAAAATTGTCACATTTTAGGGTGAAATCATAATTCTCCAAGACAACTATCCCGGGGAAGATGAAGTATACCTAGTAACTGTCTATACAGGTCACTATTCTGAAGCGGGAACCACTGCTAATGTATGTATACAACTGCACGGAGATGTTAGTTCCAGTCGGGTGAATTTTAAATGAGTTGTTTCAACGACGACTTTTATAACTCATATTGAATTTTCAATCACTTTAGGCTCATTGGTTGTATAATTATAACTACAAAGCTTTGCAGCGTTTTAATGATGATTGGTTTATTATTTTTACAACGAAGAATCTTGGTGAATTACAATTTATTCGTATTTGGTCTGATAATTATGGAAATAATCCTAGCTGGTATTGTAAACGAATAGAAGTTATTGATGTGCGGAGAAATAAATCATGGAATTTCAATTTGGAAAGATGGTTTTCGTTAAAAAATATTGAAAATTCTATTATTCCTCAAAATTTGCAAAAAAGAGCTATAGATGATATAGAATTAACTATACGAGAAGAATATCTATGGGCAAGCGTATTTGTACGGTAATTAGTAATAACAAAATTAAAATATATATTTAGTAAAATTATAAACATTGAATATTAAAAATTAATATTATTTACAATTATTAATTAGTTAGTGAAATGTATAAGATTATGTTTAAATATTATAGATTAAGACAACTAAAAATAATAATTAAACCAAAATCATAAACAATTAATAGCATTCAATATAAAATAATTCGTAATTTGTAATTAGTTGGAATATTTTAAATGATTAAGTAATCAGTGATCGAAAATTCTATACTGAATATAAATATTTCCAAATTTGTATGGGTATTAAAAATAAATAAGTAGATTATAAAGTTTGAAAATATTTTGTTTTAATATCTTTGAAAAAAAAACACATATTTATGTACATTATAGGTCAATATATTTTTTAGATTTTCAAATTTTCAAGCTAATTAAAATGCTGTATTATTTGTTTTTAGGCATCCAAGATCTTTATTAACACGATGTCAAAGATTGAGCAAAATTTTATGTTTATTGTTATGTATCATGTTAATAAGTTTAATATTTTACGATTTTTTAGAAGGTAGATAATAAAAATATTATATTTCAAACTTCAAAACAATAAAAATATAAAATATAATTAATAAAAATCCTTTTAATTAATGAATAGATGAAGAAGATTTTTTAAACTTTGAAGTCACTTTAACCCAAGTTTCTATTGCTATACAAAGTTGTATAATAGAAACAATAATGACATTTGGAACTTCATATTGTTTTAAGTAAGTATTAATGTACATTTTATACTAAATAATGTAATAATGTACGTAGATATATTAAATTTGATTACTTAGGTATCTAAGTAATTTCATTTAAAACATAATTAATTAAATTTAGAAAAATATGGAATTTTGTTATTACGAATTTACCAAGATTTACAATCGAATTTAAATTTGTCAATTCATATAAGTATATAAGTATATTACATTTGGTGCCCTCCCCCCTTGTGAGATTTCTGACTACGCCACTGCGTATTAGTATTATTAGAATATATTAGTTGCGGACTGCGCACGCAAGCTGTCGTCCGTTGTGGCGTAGTGGTTAATTCTATAAACATCCAAATACACATATAAAAATTAATATTATGAGACGACGCGTTGCAGTGTCTCGTTTTTTAAGGCACGGTGTACAGGGGGAATAGGTTATTGAGTGGGGATTATCATTGCGCTATGAGACATGTCTCGCGTTCGTATTTATCATTTCATTATACATTATCGTAATCGTCATTGCTTTTCGCGTTGATGCGTTATCGTTCAACGCAATTTCGTTATCATAGTTATTGGTTGATTTTTATTTTATGATTTATTTATTTCTGGTGTGATATTCGTATCTAAATATGTATTAAAATATTGTTCTATTGTCATTCGCCACTATGCCTGATGATTTAATTAATGAAATGTTGAATGATGGAATAGTAAACTACTCATACGAAAAAAAATATGAAATAAAAAATAAAAGACCGTTTCTTTTTTATCATAAATGGGGGGGGGGGCTGTAACGTATTATTTTAATGTCTCCCCAGCTTAAATACTCGTGCTTCGCCACTGACAGAACCACTGTAAGGTTTATCTAATTAAAATATAGTTTTATTTTACGTTTGATACATTTTTCATTATTCATATTCTAAATATAAATGTATATAATAATTTTTCTATAAGATGCATGATACAAAATATTTATCAGAATAGAACTTATTGTTGCTAACTGTTTAATGGTTTGTTATTATATTTATTTTAGTAAAGGTGCAAAGTTTAAAAAATACATGTTAGTTCCAGATCCATTAGAAATACAGGAGCGCGAAAGTAATAATACAATAACAAAATAATATTAATAATAACAATAATAATGTTCTTATACGTTTCAATTATTACACAATAAAAAAAAAATAGTAAATAACTATTCTTAAACGTGTATTGATTGTTTTAATAAAAACCATGCAAATTGTTAATTATTAAAAAATGGTTATCTTCATATTATATTGATTTTATATAATTTAAAATTTTTCAAAAAAACAACAAGGTTTAAAATAAAATTTAATTGTGTTCAATCTATCATTAAACTAAGTGACAATTGATTTTTAAACATAATTTAATGATACTTTTGTAATAATAAACGTTATTATTAATAATTTTTATTTTATTGTGTTTGGATAGTATTATTTTATTTATAATTAAATAAACATAAACAAGTTATGAAAAATAACAGTATTTTAGTTGTGTCAATGTTTATGAACGGATTTATGTTTATAAATGTACGGTCGCCGGCAGTCAAATGGCGCGGTAATAATGATCAACCATGGTCGCCGGCGGGTATAAAAGTACAACATTTGAACATTTAAACATAACCGGTGGCGGCCATTGTGTTAATTTTTTTAGTATAAACTACTTATAGTTTGGGAGCACGAAAAATGATCGCTGCTCGTCATGTGCCGAGCGGCTGTTTTTCTAAAGTGGTTATCAAATCTACGCTCATCGTTCATGTTATCGCCATAGATACATAAAACTATATAAACTATATATACATATGCCTATATCTGTGGTTATCGTTCATTATTCGTGCCCGTGAATACGATACGTAACAGCAGCGTGACGGTACGAAGTTGAGAACCAATGGTTACAGTGGGTACAAACAACGGGTCGCGGGTACCAACGCTCATTTTTCGTGCTCCCGACTTTAGTTTGTAAATAATTTAGATCTATGCTGAAATCGTTTATTTTTTTTATTTCGACTAATAATCCATTCATAATCATTTGATGACTTATCTAACATTACAATTTATTCCGGTCCCTGTACAACTCACTATTATTATCCAAGTACCAAATAGATACAAAAAAAAAGACAAGTGAACCACTCAACTTTTGTATCAAACAAAAACTTCTAATTTAGCTTCCCTTTGAGATCAAATTCTAAATTTAAATACGTTATTATATCCATTTCAAAAAATGTATGAAATAGTTCATATTAATTCAGTAAAATTATAAATATGAGCATAAAAATAATAAAACACTGTTATAACTTCTTTAAATGTAACTCTATTGTATTATCTATGTGTCTTAGAAACATGGTGGAAAAAATTAGTTTTAATGATTGTGGAAAAAAAAACTTATTTACCTGCTCAGACCGAAAATAAAGTTAAGAAACACAAACAAATAAACTATTGGCTTATATTTGGATGGTATGTCCATTAATTATTTAATTATAATTATAGTATAAATTAAATTTGCCTACAGGACATTTTGCATTCTTATTTACATTTTTTCGGCTTCTTTTATTATTGCTTACGGACTGAAATTAGGACAAGTGAAGAGCTTACACTGGTTAATGACTATATTGATAACGATTATACAAAGTGCATTTTTAGCTGAACCTTTAAAAATAATTGTTTCTAGTTGTATATCGTTTAAATTAAATCAAGTAATACAAAAATATTTATCAATTTCAATTGATTTTATAATAAAATATAAACTTATTGATTGTTAGGAACAAAATATAATAACCAAGTATGAAATAAAATTAGAAGATTACCGTAAAAATACCAAAAATCGCTTACAAAATTTGAGTTTAATACGAGATATCCGAAAAAGTAGAATAAAATACGTATATAATCCATTGACAAGATCCGATGTTCAAGTAAAAACATTTATAATATTTATTATTTAATGAGTTATAATTTTTTAATGCTTTCGTACAGTTTTACAAATATTAATAATTTAAATTAAATGAAAACCCAACGCATCTACTAAAATTGTTGATCATCAACAAACATATAAATATTAAATGTAGTATAATTGGTACATATTTGTTTAAATATTTTAAGGCACATGATTAAATGTTCATATACGCCCAAATAACCACAGTAAATTAATATTATCACTCAGTATTACACATTATCTATATATTAGTATAAAGTAATACCTACTATTTCTTATCAAGAAAGTTATTGTATAATACATCTAGCACGTTCAGTTATTTTATGTCAACATAGTTTACACGAATCCAAAAAAAAAAATAAAAATATATAAAATAATTAACTAATCATAAATTCATAAATAATAATTTACTATGGTAAATTTTAATTGGTTATAACAGATTTTGGAACATAGACAAAGTGGTAAAATAAAGTTTGTACACTTTCGAGAAAATGCTATAACTTGTACATTAATAATATTAACATCATTGTGCTGTATTAGCGCTTTATATTCATTTAACAGTCCAAAGCATATAATACATGCCAATAATGTCAACAAGCTATTTCTCAAAAGTCTATTGCAAACGGATATAATGGATTTGGAAATGTAAGACCACACATTGGTTCTGGTAATGCATAATCACATAACCATTTAATCAATTCTATACTAATAATTTTAGGTTAAAAACATTTTTAACGGAATCACTTGTAAAATTTTTACACACTAAAGAATATTACAATGGAATACCAATAACCAACGAATCAATGAATTATTCCAGTAAGATCTTAAATTTGTATTTTAAAAATCATAATAATTTAATTTACATAATACATTTCTTTAGTTGAATTATTAAATGAACACTAATATGTTTCTCATTTATACCGTAGGTACCGTAGCAGGCGCGCTACTGTGTGTCTATATATGTTATATAAGTCGTGTTTCGCATTTTATATGACTATTTCAAATACCTATATTTTAATGGATAGAGGATAAATAAATTATTTTTAATACAAAATTATTTTTTGACAGATAACATGAGAGGTTGGTATAGTCTATACAACAGTAAAGTAATAAATGGAGGAATTAGACTGAAACAACTTCGTATTAAACGAGAAATCTTAGAATGGAAAAATGATGTGGGTAATTACGAAGAAGGTTGGATACAAACTGCAAAGACTAACGACGATATTACGGCTTGGACGTATAGATCCATACCCGTTGTTAAATATTTCGGTCTATGTATGTATAACAAACTTATTCCGAAATTCAATACCATATGTGAATTGTTTGAATATTTTAGGGTTTCCCGAAACGGACCACTCAGGGTTTATATTGGACCTTACTGGCGATGCATTTGAATACAAGAAAATTTTAAAAACTCACTTAGAAAATGGTTGGTTTGATAATAAAACAAGAAATGTCATCATAGAATTTCAAACTTACACACCGAACATAGATAGCATTACTGTATTCAATATAAAATTACATAGTGTATCAGGATTATTATACACTGTTACTACTGTGGTAAGTATGATAAAATTGAACTAAATAATAATTATAATATCATTCATATTATAACTGTGTAATAATACTGAGTGTGAATGAATTGTACTATAGTTCCCAAGGTGCCTATGGAGTATTAGCCGAGTAGAAACCAGATATCGTATTGACATATATTTTTTTTCAGAACCTTATTCATCCGTAGTTGTGAACATTTTTTTTTCTACTAATCAGACAAGCATAAAATTAAATAAATTATGAAATTAGTCCAAACTTTCATCATTTTTTTTAATTTCAAAGATTTATCGTCTTCTTAAAAATTTGTCCCAAATCGTATTTTAGTATATTTTTGTACTCACATGTGTAATGGAAATCAATATATTTTATAATATACCTGGTATATGCACCCATTTGATAATTTATAATTTAAAATATGCTGAAATCCAAAAATTCGCTTATACGTATTTATTTATCCTCTTAATTGACTAAAACGAACATTATTTAAATCAATACAAAAATGTATTGATAGTTTCGCCATAAATTCGTTCGCCTACTATGTTACATTATTATATAACTACGGGTTTTTAATTTTTGTTCTTAACACTAATAATAACGGGTGTTATCAGAAGCGGTTCCACAGTTAGAGAATTGTGGGTCAAGCTATTTTCAAGAAGTCACTTATTAGGCTTGAAACTGGATTATAAATGTATACCTTGTAAAAAAAAAAAAACACAATAATCTCGTATAATATGTGTTTTTAAGTCTATCCATATTTCTCATTGAAAACATTCCCATTTATTTTTTGTCATGCGAGCCATGGGGTCCGGTTTAGAGACGTTATACTGTACAAAACAATTAAACGAGTGGCGTCATTTTGGGAACGGTAACTGGGGCATTTGTTCCAATCTAGTGCTAACGTCGAACAATAGTCGGCACACATAAAAATTATAATAAAACTTCAATAGGCCAATTTTGTCAATAATTATTAACTGTGGGTCGACTAAACTCCTGACCCCCCTTCCATAGATCCGTCCCTAGGTGCTATACAAATTATGACCGTCGACATAAATAGAACCTGGAAATAAAGATAATCGGTCCGATCTTGTAGTACAACCATAGGTTTAAAAATTGATCAATCAACGTACGACTGATCGCGAGAACCGTTTGCGCAACGCAGGTGTGGACGGTACCTTCGAGTTCGGTGTTTGTCGACTGGACGACGTACGTGTTCACGCTGGTGTTCATGTCCGCGTACGCGGTGACGGCCGTACGGTTGACGAGCTCGGTGGTGCGCGTGACGGTCGGTCGCGGTGACGGCGGTACGACGCCGTACGATCGTTTTTGGACCGCGTACGAGTGCGCGCTGCTGGCGATCGTGGTGGCCACGTCGTTGGCGGTAACCGGCCGCTGGCGGCTAATGGACGAGGCCGGCGCGCAGTACTCGATGGCCAAGGAGACGGTGTACGTGGCCAGCGTGACGGACATGTGTCGGTCGCACGAGCACGTGGCCGCGCTGGCGTCCGTGGCCGTGGCCATGGCGCTGTTCCGGACGTTCCGACTGGTGACGCTCGCGGAACGCAAGCCGCACCTGCAACGAACGTTGGACGCATCCGGCGGCCCGGTGTTGATGGTGGCCGGGTTCTCGATGGTCGCCGCGTACGGCGCGTGGTACAGCACCGTGAGAACCGACGGCGGCGACGGCCACGGGTTCCTGAACGCGTTCGTCGTGGGTCAGCACGCGCTCGGCCGCGGCCGCCCGTCGCCGCCGTGCCTGGCCGTCACCGTGGTCGCCGTGTTCCTGTTCCTCAACGCCGCGGCCGTGGCGATCATTACCAAACGCTACGTCGTATCGAGACTGTACTCGCCGCGCGACCGAACACCCGCGACACCGGCCACCGCACGCGTGCTGACGACCAACACTGCGTCCCGGCCGGTGTAGCCGGTACGCGGCCGAATTCTCGTTCGGTTCGCACGCGTCGCGCGTTGCACTTGTTCACCGATTTTTTCACCTATTCTTAAACGTCTCGACGAGATTTGCCTCTGCATGCGAATAAGTTTCGAGAACTGTTTGTGTACCGTTTTTCTTTGTTTTTTTTCTTTTTCACGGCTTATTCTAATTAATAAAAAAATACTAAATGACAATATTCAATTTTATTTATTTTTTGTCTTTAAAAATATACCGGTTATGATAGTAACAGTGGTCAAAATAAAAATTGAGATTTAATTTAGTTTTAATATATTTAATATGTGTAGTCAGATCAAATTAAGTAATTAATAAAAAATATTTTAGCCCATTAAAGGCATTTTGGCATTTGGTACGTAACGTTTGCACAAGTCTGTTAAATGTGGTGAATGTTTTTATTTTTTACATCATACCATTGATTATAGAATAGATATATATTCTATAATCAATGATCATACCTACGTTATAATTCATGGATATATTTGAACACTTTGTTTTCAATCACTTAAAATATTCGACTAAACCATTAAAAACTTGAAATTTTAATTGCCAAAGGTAACCTGTTGAAAATTCGTCAAATAACCCCCTGAAAGTATTCATTAGATAAAATGTTCTATCAGAAATGTTTTATAACTGTGATGATTTGGGGAAACCTTAAGATCGAAATCGTGTACTCAGACACAAATAAAAAAACATACAAATAAAAAAAAAACCACATATCTTAGTAAAATCAATACATTCCTCGTTTGATATAAAATATAACATGCAGTTATGTAACAAACGGTGTATAATAATTGAGTGAACATTTCAAGTTATTAATTTTTGAGTTACGATGAAAACCAAAATTTGATTTAATAAGAAATTCTATGCCCAGAATTTCCTCAGGTCCCAGTTTAGAAAAATTCAAAGAGAGCTTCCTAAAAGTCTAGATTGATTAGAAATAATTGGAGTTGTCCAATAGAGATTATTGATCTATGTAGATAATTTTTTCGATGAAATATTAAGAAATTTAATTAAATAAAATTAACTTAAATTTATATTTAAGCGCTATGAAACAGGTTAAATTTTCAGTTATTCTAATTTATAAATAGTTATAATTGCAATTTATTATGGTTATTACCGGAGTGTGAAGAATGACAATTTTATCCAAATTTACGTAGAAATGCGTTATCGCAATTATCTATGCTATTACATCAAAGCTCTTATTTTCTACGGCGTTTATAATAATTTATAAACATAAATTATTTAGTAACAAATTTTAATTAAATATGGTGACTGGTAAGAAATCATAGTACGTATAGGAAATTATATAATGGCAAGTTTTGGCGCAAGTTTTCTTTTCTTCCAAGAACGGCCGGCTCTCGTTTTGGAATCATATCGACGTTATCTCGTTATTAGTGTTATCATTAAGCGCGATCAAACGAACATTTCATCAGTCCAAGACTTTTAAAACTTATATTTTCCATTGACTTTACTTAGTATAAGCACATATAAACTAATTATTTTGTGTATTAATGTATTAAGGTTTCTCCCGCCACTTTAAGTACTACTTCACGGTGTTCTCAGATGACGGGTGTATTGCCGAATAAAATAAAAATGGTATGAAGGTTTGAGATGTATCATGTTCTCACAGACTTGTTATCTATTTTGTTTTGCTGATTAAACCGTGAAAAATGTAATTATATCATTGTTTATTGAGTGTTAATGACGTTACGTCGTCTGTATATCCGATTTGGAATGTTATTCCCTCGTCTGATATGTACGAGGTTCACGTTCTTTTCGTTGGTTACTGTCGGCCAACCAATGATGGCATGTTGGCCAATTGTACGTGCACATTAGTTAAAGGCCCTAAAAACATCATTGTTGATACAATGACCCCTTGGGACAAAGCAGCTTTAGTAGAGGCCATCCATGATCACGGTCTTGAAGTTGATGATATTGATTATGTGGTCAGTACTCACGGCCACTCAGACCATATAGGTAACAATAACCTATTTTTAAAAGCCCAACATCTAGTTGGCCGATGTGTTAGTTACAAGCATATATACTACGATGACAGTAAGTTTTTCAACAGTGACGGTGTGTATGAAATCGACAATTGCATTCAGATTGTTTCAACCCCCGGACACACACTGGTAGACGTATCTGTTATTGTTCAGACAACTCAGGAAAGTTTTGGCATTGTAGGTGACTTGTTTGAAAATGAAGATGATTTAATGGATGAATCCATATGGCTAAATGCTGGTAGTGAAAACCCAGATTCACAGAGAAAAAATAGGAAAATGATCATGGAGAAAGTGGATTGGATTATACCAGGTCATGGACCTATGTTTTCTACTAACAAATACAAATGAAAAACTACTGATGTGGTACAAATCTGCATTTATTAAGTTATATTAAGTTTATCTTGTATCATTTCTTAAATAATATCATGTGTGAATAAAATTCAATATTTTAACATTTACATATTGTATAAATAAAAACATATTTTGTAGGAAAGTTATTGTTCATACATGATATCGGTTATGTAGAAATTTACAAGTTATGGCAAACAAGAAAAAACAAATCATTAATTACTTTTTCTTAAATTAATTTTAATCATTGGATTTCAATAAGTAATTCTTGAAAGTTATATTCCTGTTTTATTTATAAATATATGTATAAATATTTAAATATTATGAGTCAATATTTAATAATCAGTACAATAACTAGTTAGAAACATATTTTATAAGACTTCTACTATATTATAATAGTATAATTTTTTTCTGTATTTCAATGTACAGGATTTAATTTTATATGTATATTTTTAAGTAAAATTTGATGTATAAATTATAAACTAATACTTTTTAATGATTTTTTTTTTTTTCAATGGCTTTGGTAAACATAGTGGACAACATTTGGGATAATTTACTCCAACTTTAACTGGTTCGCAAACATTGGTAGATAAATCACAAGTAGTGCATTGTTCACACCTGAAACACATTAATATAGAAATAATTTCAATTAATAGTTTCAATTCTCTATGGTCATTACATTTTATTTTATTTGAACTTACTTCATAGTTTTGATAATAGGTGTTTTTGAATCTCTTTGTCTAGTACAAATTCGTCTTTCACACTTTTCATTTGATAACCAATTAGAGTCTACTTTGTAGGTTGATTTGGTTTCTTCATCATAACATTTATTTACTGTAACATAGTTTTATAAATATTATATAAGTTGTATTTAAATAATACTTAAAATGTTATCTAAAGTTCTCCCTCTTCCCATAGTCCAATGAAAAAAATTATTACTTTTTACTTTTTGTTTTTTATACAAATATTATTTCATAAAAATGTAATAGTACGAGTAAAATACTGACTTAGTACCAGAATTTTCAAAAATAAATATTTAAAAGCAGTCAATAAACTTTCCTTAAAATTTGATATAGTCAAATTTTTTTTTACCGGTGTCAAATTAGTAATTATTTTAATGCAAATAATTTATAAGCTCTCAGGTTTATATTTAACTATATCTTATGTCATCTGTACTTTAGGGTGTGGTAGTATTTTGTTTACATAAACAATTTTTCTTCTGCAAACTTAATCAAATAATCATTTAGTATTTATATGATGTAATAGTACGATTAGCTATATATAAATTTATAATATAAATTTATTAAAAAATGAATAAATATATAATGCTCTGAGTATTTACTCGTTTTTAATACCTAATTAATATTTCTTTATTTTTAGTATTTTAAGCAATTTCTTTAAAGCTAAAGTCTAAAAATTTACGTTTTCCTTTTGTTTGAGTTCGATATCAAAATTGATTAATGATCAGATAATACATTTACGCATATCGATAATTCACTTAATTATTCATTATATAATAATAACAATGATGCTTGAGAAATAATTTGTATTATACGTATGTATTAAATTATTATCAAAGTTGATATGTATAATGCCTATTGTTTTTTGTTCCAAACTTTTACATCAATTGATTGACAATTAAACTCGTATAATACTTACCTACTTTAAACGACCATTTTTTACGTTTTTAACATTCTACAAGATAAAATTATAAAAACTTTTTATTATTTCATTATGATTTGAAAATAATGTATACAACATAAAGTTGCCGACTGTTATTTATTGCAGTATTTTGCTCAATTTTGGAGTTATAGTCGGTTACATAAAAAATTATATTTTATATTGGATATTTAAAAAACTTTCTAAACTATTCTGAATTTACTACAACATTTGTACATAACTCGAAATTGTTTTATACTATTTAGATAAAAAAAAAAAAAAAAATGTTACAGTAAAAAATATAATAATAGCTACAAAGATAATTATTTTCAATCGACCTATTGCTATTAATTGTAGTGAAGCGAGAGTAAAATCAGTACACAAATCGGTATTGGACTAAAAATTCTGGTGGTACATGGATGATATCTTACCAAAACTACGTATGAGTCACGGGGTAAAAAGAAAATAACAAAACAAAAATAATCTTTACTCACGGAGATCATCCTCTTTGGTTTCTTCGTTTCGAAATCCGTCGACTTCCAACACGTTCTCGGAGTCGTGTTGCAGCAGAGCAGCTGCGGACAGAAAGAAGAACGCGGCTGTCAGAAATATGCATACTGTCGGTTTCGACATGATCGGACAGAGTAATATTCGGAGAAAGAACGAAAACTATAAAGGGTTGAACGAACAAAGCGCCTTGTCTACACGAAGGACGTAACGGATCACCGTGAACTGAGACGTTCAAAAAGTATAATATAAATAAACTACAGGTTTACGTATATTATAATATTTCAAATAGCCGAGGCCGTGACTATGATAACCTCGGCGAACTTTAAGGTCTTTGCTATTATTGATACAATACTGCCTAGGTATATTATAACCGTGTATTATACTTTAATTATACAAATACATGATTTATTCAGGAGAAGGAAGTATTATTGCGAGTACGAACTGTGCGTACATAATAATCGATCGAATGAAAACCAACATTATAATTATTTCTATTGCGTATACGCGATCGATTTTTATTAAATAATATAGCTAATAATCAAATAAGATATTAATAATATTATGCACATGTATTGAAACGGATTATAAGTTCACTGATCTTTGAAGTGAGCGCACGGGCGTGATTTATGATATTAACTCTGTGACTACTATTCTCGTAATCTACATGTCGTCGGCGGTAGAGGAGTTGTACAAAATATATGAGGCGAGACGAAAACGAAATTGTTCTTGTCCCTTTTCAGCGAGAACCTAAGCCGAATAATTAAATTCGCACAAGGCTGCAAACGTTATTCGTTTTCGTTCCCGGCTATTTAAATCTACGACAGCGATAATTTCATTTTTTTCGCTTCATTTATTCTTTATTTTATCGGATATACAATTTGGGTCACCTAATACCGTAGTGCAGCCGCATTTGATACGTATGATCAATTCGCCAGATATTTGTACGCGTCCTATAATCTCCGAAAATATTACTATATGTCTCGCTTAACTTATATAGTAAAGTCTGTATTTCCTATAGAGAATTTTGTTATTATACGTGTTAGAAAAACACAAACTTACTATAATAAATAAATGTCCGGCTATACGGTGGTGAACTATTGATGCAGCAAAGTATATTGTGCTTGGTTTTTTTTTTCACAAAATTGTATTGAATTCAAATGTTGAGAAACGACCTTTGATCTTAAACGATTTGACATCAGACTGCCAAAAAAAAATTAGGTTAACGTACGAAAGAACGTAATGATGCGATAAACAGATAAATATATCTATAGGGTGGTTTGAAACAAAATGCATTGTAAAGTTATTTGAATTAACAAATAATTTATTTAATACTGGTTATATTATTTATTACAATAGACTTAGTCGTTTTTTTTAATTTTATTGTAATAAGTTAGAATCCTTTGTTGGTACTCTCGATTGAAATACATTTGCGATAGTACAAATAGTTATACTTGTTCACACCACGGTCGTAAAGAATATCATTTTAAAACCGTATTTTCATTGTCACTATCCTATTTCACTGTTTTATCGACAAGTAAGCAAAACATTTGACCTTTATAGTTGAAAATTTAAGGGTCATATTGATACCATAGTATTACTAATATACCAATAAGTATATAACTTAAACCCTTCATGGGATGCTCAGAAAATTATTATTCACGGTATTACGATAAGAAGAATATATTTAACATTCAATTTTAATACTACGATACAATAATAATTTGCGACTATATTTTATACCCAAACTGATTGATTCGTTAAGGATGGATTTTAAAATTTTATATGCGATTGAATTTATTTATATTTTTGTACAAATTCTTACACAAACGATTAATAATCCATAATTTATATTTAAATCTAATTTTAATTTGTAATTATTTTAACTGATTTAAAACGCTTATAAGGAATAAGTGTCATTATAATTATTTTTTGTTACATTCGTTTTATGGGTTTTCACCAGGCCAAATTTCTACTACCAGTCTTAATTATTTGTTGCAAATAACATTCAAAACACCCTGTATCTACAAGTCTTACTCCCTTCTGCTGAAACTCGCAGATGTTTTAATCATTTTTGAAGACCTCATTTAACGAAAAAAAATCCATACAACTTACCGGACATTCGATCATTTGTCATTCGGTGAGCAAATGAGTCAATGATGATTATGTGGTTTTCGCACAGTTATTTAAGTTATATTTTTTGAAGTTTATTCGACTAACATGACAACATCAGGCTTCTTGTGCGTGTTCGTAACTTTTATCGCTCTTTCCCAGTGTTCTACTCACACTAATAATGATTTTATATCAGTCAAGGTAAGGTTTTAAATATATTGTTTATACTTTTTTATCGTTTTTAATAACTGATATAAATTCATAGTGAAACTGTTAAGTTGGAAAAGTTTATTTTGGTATTTAAATATATAATTTGTTATGTTATTTTCCTATAATATCAGTTTAATAAATTATCATAAACTATATTTTTTAAATTTTACAATACCTATTGAAAAAAATTTATTTTAAATATTTTAGATAATAAATAATTATTTATTGTAATTACATAAATATTTATAATTTGTTCATTTACTTTTTTTAACAACATTTTTGGAAATTTAAGAGCTTAAATAGTTGTTTAAAATAATATTAAAGGTTAATAACTAGAGCTTTCTAATAAATGAATAACGTATTCAAAATGTTAAGCGAAAGTTAATTTTAAAAACTGCAATAACAGCAAATTCGTTTTAGCCCAAGCTTAAATTCATCAATTGCTGAATTCTGTATTGAAATTTTACGTGATTTGATTTTTTTGCTACAAAAATTATAGTTCAAAATTTTAATTTTTATCTGGTTTTTAAATAGTAAAATTTGGAAAATTTTCAATTTTATTCGCCTACATTTTTTTTTCATTTAAGTAAAGGATTTTGGTGAGAAAAATTTTATTGTTATAACTTTTAACTCTATTATTGTTATTTTAAAAATGAAATTAGTGTTTTTTTCCCATTCTTAATAAATATATTTTATAGAATATAATAAGTACTTTTACGAAACAAGATTTATAATGGTAGTTTTAGTATCAAACTGAAAATTTTTAATATGAAATCAATGATAAACTTTATATTTGAAAATTTACTTTGTGCTCGATTTATCATAGTATTTATAGTCGTTATGCCTTCCTAACTAAAATTATAAATGTTATTAAAATAAATCGTTAAGACCACGAATAAGAATTTAAAACAACTATCAAAATGTGTTGAACTTCTTAGATATTTTATCATTTTAATAAATTTCTAACCAAATATTTTACTAAATCATTATTTGAATTATATAACTTAGAGCATATTTTACATTAAAAAGAAACCACTTAAATTAAGTCAAGTAATAATCAAAAATTAAATACAGTAATTAATTTGAATTTAAAATATTTGAATCATATAAATTGACTAAAGTTATCTTATATTTTTTATTCAATATTTTTTCAGAATGATTCAATGCTGCATTCAAATACAAATGATATCAAAGTATCTTCAAAAGTTAATATTACAGAATTTTTCGATCCGGAAAAAGTAAGTTTATCATTTTTTCCATAATGGATTAAAATATTTTCATAGACTGATTCTTGCTAACTATTGGTGTTGGTTAATAACGTTACGGAAACTAGCTAAACGTTATTGAAAAAAAATTAAATTTTTTTAAGCATTATAGTTGTAATCATGTTCTTGAAACAATGTCTTGAAATCACGTACTTTAAAATAGATTTTAAAATAAATAAAATAAATTCGTTATTGACAATAATAGCTATGTATAAAATTTTACCTACTTTATGTAAGTGCCCTTTAACCTACCCGGGTTGACTTATAACCTAGACAGCAGACGTCAAAAGAACAAGTATTAATTTGATAATTTATGTTCACGGATCCAACATCGTAAATCGATGTGTAACAAGCCTTAGATCATAAACTCACCAGTACTATGATGAAAATCAAATATCATAGTCCCGGCACATTTTTGTACACATAAATCATAATCTCAATTTTAAATTTTAATATTAAGATAATTTATCTCAGAATAATGATTCTTCTTATCTTAATCCGTATTTGAATACTACATAATGTATGAACAGTAAATTTAATTTTTAACTATCGTGTAATTTTGAACACTTTTTAACTCAGGCATTAAACCAGATCCTGGCCTAATTTACTTGGCCGATAGTTTTGTTTATGTATTTGAGTATACTCAGTAAGTTATTTTCGGGGATTTCCTAGGTCTAACCCCCCACCCCCTTCCCAAAATAAAATAAAAGATATGTATGAATGAGACATTTTTTTTTAGCTTTTTTCGTGAAATGTTGGTGAAAGTATTTTAGATTGACATAAGGTTTGGAAAATTTAATAGAAAATTCCTTATAAATAATTCTACTGAGTAATGAAAACCCATTGAGCTTTAAAATATATATAAATATATACATATATATTAGCGTTTGAAATTTGAATTTTAAATGTTAAAAAATTCTACAAAAATTTACAAAATGCTTGTATTTAAAAATTCACAAAACTTTTAATTTTAATACTTTCGATTAGTAAATTTGCATACACTGATATGATTATCTTTGGAGCTAGAAAAAATCGCATAAAGTTTAATAAGCGTTAAAAAATGAAATATTGACAATATCGGGTATTTCAACAAATTTTTATTAAATGTAATAAGTTATTAAGTTATTCTATATGTATTAATAGTAACGTCTTGAAAGATTTACTGAGTACTTATATTAGGATTTTATAGATATGTATTTCACAATTTTCGAAATATTGTATAATTTTATGTAATTTATGATGTTTATTAGCACTTGAAATTTCCGATTTTTGCTGAATAATAATCCGTTACATTTTATTAATGCAGAAGTAGTACCTCAATGTTACTTACCTAAACGCCTTTTTTATACAAAAGCTCATTTAAAGTTCAACTTACCCTATTAAGAAATTAAGTTCTTTTACTATTACTATACTATATAAACCATCTTTAGAAATATAAATTAATCCAACCGAACTCTTTCACTCAAAATCGTTTTTCATGAGCATTGATTTCAAATTCAAAATACTAATACAGTTATACCATTCATTCATTGCTGTGGATATCTTGCTTGATTATGGAATATCATTTGTTTTTAGGTCTACAATGTTTTTGTATTTTAAGTATCTACTCGTCATCTCATACTAGTTATATTTAGACGTAATGGATCACTCTACTGGTTGTTAAAATACAGTTAACTTTACTACACATGTTCATGAATGAAAATTGTATTACATATTATAAATATTAAATGATGAACATTAGAAAATATAATATTATTAATATTTGTAAGAAAATACAAATGTTTACATGAAATTTGATTATTAATTTTTAGATTAGGTTATGAACTAAAAAAAACTAAGGAGGTATGTGAATTTAAATCCCCTACGTCATAAACTTACAAAAATATTTGTAGTCACCCAAGGCTCGACTTGAAGGGGTACGTAGTACCCCTTCTAATTTTTAGAAATTTTAGCGTCCCCTACTATTAATATGTTATAATTATAATGCTTAACAAGTTTTAGGGACGCAATTTTTTTTAAGCAAACAGAGTCCCCCTTCTTTAATTTTGCCAAATCAAGTACTATAGCTACCTAATATTTTCAATAAATATACGCTCATGACGTAAACACCAATCATTCAAAAAATTATCATAATTTAATAAAAACCTCTATTCCATTTTCCAGTAATAATATCCACGACTTTGCAATAGCTTGAAAACTAATTTGTATTATTATTAAATATAATTTAATACATGAAAATAATTTCAGAAAATATTTGCACATAAAAATGAAATGGCTGGAGAATGTATTCTTACATATACAGATGATAATCTCAATATTTTAAAATTCAAACATAAATATGATTTAAACATGGAGTTTTCTGGTGATGAAGTAAGAAAATTATTTTAATTCAAAAAGTTATGCTTCTTATATAGGTTCATTCGCTTAATTTTTCTATCTGTTTAGAAATTATTTATTTCAATAACTATTCAATATCATTAATATATTAGGTACTGCTTATATTATATTAAAAATATTTGTAGGTGGTTGAAATAATTGGCGAAAATATAAGAAACTTTTGCAATTCGAAAATCATCATTCTTAACAACTTCGTTAGTAATAAAAAAATTAGATCAAAACGATCGACTAGTAAAAAACGATACCAAGGTCAAACACAAACCCAATTCGTTAGTTTTGGATCAAAAAATTCTAGTCAAGGAACAAAAACCGGACTAGCAGAAGCATTATCACAACCTGATTTATCAAGGGCTACAGTCAGTGAGTATATTAAGTATATATTTTTAACATGAATATAAAAAATATTTATTTATTTATATGTCTATGTAAGGCAAATATAATACAACACCCATAAGTATATAAAGAATGATGATTAATATTATTTTTTCAAAATATAATTAAATATATAATAATATAATAATAACTAAAAATAATACTAAATTCTGAAATAGGCCAACTAATTCGATTTTTTTCATCCATCGGTAAAACCTAAATGTTATACTATTTATTATAAGAATAATAACAGTCCTACATATAATTAATGTTAAAAATCAATGGCTTGCCTATTTGTTAATTTATCTATTTTATTATCGGGTTCTTTTGATTTTAATAACATCAAATTCTCTACATATTAGTTAATAACAAATTTATAGCCATAATAGATATATACTCATAAATAATTGTTATTATAAATCGATGGGTATAGTCAAGTGAATAATTTTGATAAAAACAATTAAATCTCATTGAATTATAATAAAGTTACTGCAGAAGATAGGAAACCACTAGTATTTTTTATATATAATAACTTATTATTAATAAGTTTAATCGTATAAATTATTGTTATATTTTATTATATAAAATATATAAATATTTTATATAAATTTAATAACAACTATTTTTGACCAGTTAAAATTATCGAATAAGTATAATACAATTATAATTATCTAAGAAAGAAAATCTATTGTTAAGTACTTATTATTTTCATGTTCACTTTTTAATAAGAAGATTTTAAAAGCCTGATTAATTATTATTAATGGAAAAAGTAAAGCAACTTTTATTACATTCTTAGAAATTGTACTTTCCAAAATTCGCAAAGGAAAAAAAAAATGTTGACAGGTTAGATTATTAACATTTCAGCTGTAAAAAATTAAAGCTTATAATTGTCGAGTACCACAAATACATTGAAAATTTATTAAAATTACATATTTTAAAAAACTTTTTTAAGGTGGTTTAAACGGAATGGGACAGGCTCAAAGTCAGTCAAGTTTTGGTGACTGCGATGATTGTTCTGGACAAGATAATCCAACACATTCAATGCATGAAGAAATTACAAATTCTAGGAATATTCCATTATTCCAACCTCAAGGTCCTAATTCTCAAAATCAAAATGGACAGTATCCAAGCGCATACCCTCGATTTGATTCAAATAATAGAAAACCTGGTAATGAAAACCAAGGTTCTGGTATAAAATTTTCTAACGGTAGGCAATATCCAAGTACATATCCAGGATCTGGGTCGACTAATAGAGTCCAGAGACCAGAAAATCAAGACCAAGGCTTTGGTATTGGATCTTCTTCCGCTGGACTATATCCAATTACTAATCCGGGATATGGATCAACCAATAGAATAATAGGAAAACAAGACCAAAGGTTTGATACCGGACCTTCTGCCACTGGACAAAATCCTAATTCATTTCCAATATCTGGATTGAACAATAAAGAACAAGAGAATCAAGATCAAGTTTTTGGTATTAAACCTTTAACCACTAGTCAATATCCTATTACACATTCAGAATCTGAATCGAACAATAGAGGAAATCAAGACCAAGGCTTAGGTGTTGGACCGTCTGCTGCTGAAAAATATCCAAGTTCATTTCCAGCATCTGGATCGACCAAAAGAGTACCAGGAAAACAAGATCAAGGTTTTGGTAACAGACCTTCTATCACTGAACAATATCCTAATTCATTTCAAGGATCTGGATTGAATAATAGAGAACAAGGGAAACAAGACCAAGGTTTTGGTGTTGTACCTTCTTCAGTCGCTGAACAATATCCTAATCTATATCCAGGATCTGGATCGAATAACAGAGAATCAGGAAATCAAGACCAAGGCGGAGGTGTTAGATCGTCTGCTGCTGCACAATATCCAAGTTCATATCCAAAATCTGGATCAAACAATGGAGAACCAGGAAATCAAGACCAAGGTTTTGCGGTTGATTCCTCTACCGTTGGACAATATCCTAATTCACTTCCAGGATCTGAATCAAAAAATAGAGAACCAGGAAATCAAGACTTTGGTATGGGATCCTCTACCGATGGACAATATCCAGGTACTCATACAGGATCTGAATCAAACAATAGAGTAATAGGAAAACAAGATCAAGGTTTTGGTATTGGACTCTCTACTGCTGGACAATATCCAGGATTTGGATCTACTAATAGAGTACGTGGAAAAGACAATCAAGGTTTTGGTAACGGACCTCTTATTACTGGACAATATCCTAATTCATTTCCAGGATCTGGATCGACCAATATAATTCCCAGAAAACAAGATCAAGGTTTTGGTATTGTACCTTCTGCTACTGGACAATATTTTAATTCATTTCCCGGTTTAGGAATACAGGGAAGTCCAGATTTCACTCATAAAAATCTACCTTCATTATGTAACTTCTTATATCAGACATGCTTAAATGTTAATAAAAATCCTAATGTAATACCTACATCTAGTTCACAAAGTATAGATACTACACAAAATAATGATTGGAATCAAGATAATGGAAAACCAATTAATAATCTATCACCATCTTATCCTTTATTTGAAGGAAAAATGTTTCCAAACCAAGTACCCAAGTATGGTCAGTCTGAAGATCTATTTGGATCAGGTATTAAACAACATGGATACACACCATTTGGTGGACACTTAAATCCAACACAAAGTCAACCTGGTTATGGACAACCGCAAGTTTCATTAGGACCCGTGAGATCTAATATTCATCGGACGGGAACTATTCAATCTGGAGAAAATGTAAATCCTAATCAGTATCAGCCTGGCTACGGACAGCAAAAAGGCTCATTGGGATCTGATGTTTCACAACCTGGATATGTTCAATCTGGTGGAAATATAAATTTAAATCAATTTCAGTCCGGTTATGGACAGCCACAAGGTTCATTAGGATCCGGTGAGTCTGGTTTTCAGCAACCTAGTGAAAATGTAAATCCAAATCAATTTCAATCAAATCATGGACTGCCACAGAGTTATATAGGATCTGCTGGATCTGGTGTTCAACAAACGGGATCGATTCTATCTAGTAGCAATGAAGACCCTAATCAATTTCAATCCAACTATAGGCAGCCACAAGATTCATTAGGATTCGATGGGTCTGGTTTTCAACAACCTGACAGAAATGTAAATCAAAATCAATATCAGTCCGGTTATGGACAGCCACAAGGTTCATTAGGATCTGTTGGATCTAACATTCAACAAACTGGTGGAAATGTACAACCAAATCAAATTCAACCCGGTTATAGACAGCCACACGATTCATTGGTGGGATCTAGTGTTTCACAACCGGAATCTGTTCAATCTGGTGGTAATATAAATTCAAATCAATTTCAACCAGGTTATAGACAGCTACAAGGTTCATTGGGATCTACTGGGTCTAATATTCAACAACCGGGATTCATTCAATCTAGTGGCAATGTAAGCCCTAATAGATTTCAGCCCAGCTATGGGCAGCCACAAGGTTCATTAGGATATGATGGGTCTGGTTTTCAACAAACTGACAGAAATGTAAATCAAAATCATTTTCAGTCCGGTTATGGACAGCCACAAGGCTCGTTGGGATCTAGTGGGTCTGGCATTCAACAAGCTGGTGGAAATGTAAATCCAAATCAATTTCAACCCGGTTATAGACAGCCACAAGGTTCATTGGGATCTAGTGTTTCACAACCGGCATCTGTTCAATCTGTTGGTAATACAAATTCAAATCAATTTCAACCAGGTTATAGACAGCCACAAAGTTCATTGGGATCTACTGGGTCTAATATTCAACAACCGGGATTCATTCAATCTAGTGGAAATGTAAACCCTAATAGATTTCAGCCCAGCTATGGGCAGCCACAAGGTTCATTAGGATATGATGAATCTGGTTTTCGACAACCTGACAGAAATGTAAATCAAAATCAATATCAGTCTGGTTATGGACAGCCACAAGGCTCATTGGGATCTAGTGGGTTTGGCATTCAACAACCTATTGGAAATACAAATCCAAATAAATTTCAACCGGATCGTGGACAACCACAAGGTTCATTAGGATATGATGGATCTAGTTTTCAACAACCTGACAGTAATGTAAATCAAAATCATTATCAGTCTGGTTATGGGCAGCCACAAGCTTCATTTGGATCTGGCGGGTCTAGTAATCAACAACCAGGAACTGTCCAACCTGAAGGAAATAAAAATTCAAATCAACTTCAACCCATACACAAGCAGCCACAAGCTTCATTAGGATCTGGTGTTCAACAACCTGGATCTATTCAATCTGGTGGAATCGTAAATCCTAATCAAATTTTACCTGGACCGTCTCAAAGTTCATTTGGCATTCATCAACCTGAGTTTACTCTATCTCCAGATGGAAAAGGGGTACTTGGAAACCCACAAATGAATAATGGTAATAATTATTTATCAAGAAATCCAATTATTGGTGGTCAATTTGGGACAGATATATCTTCAGGAAGTTCGGTAACACCTATTGATACTGAAGGAGGAGATGCACAATCAATGACAAATGTAAATGTTGATGGCAATGAAACTAGTGCATCAGCCTCTGCTCAAGGAAAATCAAAAACTGGAATGACACAAACCCAAGTATCTGGAACATATTCAGGAACAGGCCAATTTTCAGCTCAAGCACAAACAAGTGATAATGACAAAGGAGCTCAAAGTCAAATTTTAAGTAACACAAACGGCACAACAAGTACAGCTCAAGGAAAGGGTGGCAAAGGAAAAGCGCAATCCCAAGTTTTCTATAACTCTGAAGATGGAATTGCTTTAGGTGAATCACAAAGTTCAGGTGTTAATTACGGAACAAATACTCAATTACAGGCCGGTATTAGAGGAGGAATAGCTGATGCTCAATCAACAGGAACAGGAAGTACTTCCAGTCAGGCTCAAATAGGTTTCTTACCATACGATTCCAATAATGACTCAAATCAAAAGTCAATATACAAAGGCGGTGGAACAGCTTCTTCGCAAAGTGGATCATACAGTGGTCAATCTCAAAGTCAACTATTCGGTTCATACAAGCATGGTATTTCTTACAATGGTGCAGCTCAAGCAAGTTCTGGTAGTAAACTTCGTAACTTACCAAAATTAAATTTAGCCGACGCCCAGCTTAAGATAGGACAACTCAAGGTATTTAGTGATGAAACACATAATCAAAATAATGCGAATCAATCTCTTAAGTTAGTTTCAAAGCCATCAGAATATCAAACTCGTGAAGAAAATACCACTATCTACAATAAGAAATTAAATATTAATCAAACAAATATTTCTTCGACGACGACTTCGACAATTATACCAGAAGAAGTAAATCAAAATATTGACGAAGATCAAGAGTATGATAATAATGAAGAATATGATGACGAAAATGATACAATTATAAATACTAAAGCTGCACAATCTGAAGAAAAATCAAACCCTAAACAAGAACAAAATATTATTTTAAATCTGGATGACAAACATGATGCTCAAATTACTCGTGATTCTGATAGCCAGTTAAAAGCTGGACAAGTTTTGGATGCAGGTCAAATCATACCTGGTACTAATGGAGCTAAAATACCAGATGGATTTAGAGGAAGAGTCGCTTCAGTAGCTGGAGACCAAACCAAAGCTAAAGCTATCCCTGGTGGTCAAGCACAATCTCAAACTGTATTACTTACGCCAGGAGCAGGTGGTTTAACTGTGGTAGATAAAACTAAATTGAAGGCACTATTAGGTAAAGAATCTTATATTAGACCAACAGGTAGGTCGTTCAATACTTTTCAAACAAATATGGATGGTGAAACAGGCAAATTTGATCCTGATAATAAAAATGTCCAATATTTTACTAAATCATCAACTTGTGGTTACTTTTCTTTTTCTTGCAATTATGTAAATGGAGCAAAAAGTGGCCCTAAAATATGTAAACCTAACCCATCTCCTACCCCATGCCAGAGAAATAACTAATAATTATGATGAATATATTAAAATAACTGTTTTCATTTATTTTATTTCATATTTTAATACAATATTTTTAATAAGTTAACATAAAAAAATTGTATACTAATTTAAACCTAACTTTGTACTATGAAATATGTTTCTATTAATAAAACATGTAATATTTTATAAGCTAATTTGACTATTTTTATTTGTTTCCAATGAAAAATCCTAATCAAAAATATATTACAAAAATACAAAATATGTAACTACATTATAAAGAAAATAAAAAAAAGGTAAGAAGAATTAAGTTACTACTAGTGAACTTGACATAAACCCAAATTAATTATAAATAAATGTTCAAACCAACTATGAAGTATTACATTGAGTTTAGTTAAATATAATTTTAATTAATGACAAGAATCATAGAAAAGTACAAAATAGTTATTGAACACATACTTAGATCTATCTGTATTTTTATAATTAATTATATACAATGAAATACATAATATTTAAATATTAATACCAATTAATTGACAAGATAATTAAGTAAATAAAAAAAAAAAATTAAGATTATTTAAAGGAGATTTTCTTTGGAAGATTAGCTAACACAAAACAGATTTGTTACTTGGAATCCAGTCTTCATCACTATGACTGGAATCATCTGAAGAGGCTCGATTAGTCAAACGTGTCAATTTGAGAAGAAAAAATAATTATTAATTATTAAATAAAAAATGTTTTTCTGAATATAATATTATTCTTACTTCTTTTGTTTTCCAAAAGCAGCATTTTTTAAATAATGATAACATAATAGTTAAAAGGGAAATATGTATTATTCAATTTACTAATTTAAATAATTAAAAAATTAATTAATATAAAACAGTGGAAAGGAGTGAATCATTAGTATAGACCTCTGATTTCATAATTTAAAAGCATCGATATATTTTTCCTTTTTTTTTAAAAAAAATAATAATTTTGGGCTCATGTAGGTCAACTTATCATATAATGATTATAATGTTTATGAAAATTAAATCACTGAAACCTTACCTAATGTTTTGATGTTTTAACTCAGCCTGTAAACTATCCAACTGTTCTTGCAAATCTTCATTATACCTTTGAAGTTTCCTAAAAAAATAATTTTAAATTTACTTCTCTTTTATACTACTATGTATTAATTGTTCAGCAAAAAATATTTTAATAAGGTAATTTATATCATTATTATGATAAAATATTTTTATAATACAATTTTAAAAACTAATAGTTATCCAGGTTGCTATTTTATATTCTGGGAGTGGCCAACTTGCGACTATACATGTGGCTCTTTTCATTGTCAAAAAAGACAAATATTTTCTATATAAAATAAAAATTTACTTATTATTTTTTTTTATCAATTTATCGGTCCATTAAGGACCAATGCTGCTTTCAACAGGTCTCCTCACCTCTCATTTCTCCCATCTCATTATCTCGTAATAATAATAATGATTATTATTACAAATTTTAATTTTTTAGGTATAAATTTAAGAAAAATTACCAAATTATATAAGATATGTCTATAAACATTTTGGCATTGATATTATTGTATTTATTTGTATGGCCCGCAAACCTATTTATGTTGGCCATCAGAGGCATTATTCGAATAAAATTTTATTTAGATAACATTTTATTCAAATAAATTTTTATTCAAAGAATTGTAAAAAAATCATTTGAATAATTTTTTATTCGAATAATTATCTAGATAAAATTTTGCCCAACTCTATTGGCCATCCCTGTTATAAACATATATGCAGGAATAGTTCTAATAAAATAAATTTACTTTATAGTATTTAAAGCAGAATCATAATCTTCTTCAGTAGTAGCCAATTCTCTTTTGAGCTCTTCAACTCTGTTTCTTAAACGTTTAACTTCGCCATCGTATTGTTCACCACGACGCATTAAATGAGCCAACTCAGCACTTTGGTCAACAAACATTTTCTTTTGTTTGGATAGAGTATGTTTTAGATTAGCTAACTCCTTAAAAATGGAAGAAAATATGTTACCATTACAACATTACATATAAGTTAACTATGAAAAAATACTTACAATATTTTTATCAGCTAAATCCTGTTGCAACAGTCTGAATTTGATATCTGAAGATGATTCAGGTTTATTTTGTTTCTGCAATTTTTCAAGGGCGTCGTTTAGCTCAGACTTAATTTGTTTATTAATTCTTTCTACATTCATAATTTCACTTTCTAATTGTTCTCGTTTGCTCCATTCAACTTCATTTTCAGATTGTAACTGTTCCAACTAAAACCAACAGTTAAAATTATTTACATAAATATAGTAATAACTTCAGTATCTCACCTGTATTCTCAAGTCCTCTAATCGTTTGTTTGTTAAGACCTGATTTTCTTGACACATCAGACACTCTGATTTAACACTTTCAGTACCTGACAACTGATTATGCAAATTGTTCAAGTCTTGTTGAGTGCTTTCCAATAAGTTTTCTAAATTCTTCTCTAGTTTATCAGCTACTTCATCTGACATGGTTTTTATAGGAGTTGGTGATTTGATAGGAGAAGTTGTCTGATTAAACATTTCAACTGCATGCTTTGGGACTGCTTCTTGTAAAACATATTCTTCGATACCCGAATCGCTGACAATTGATGGTTGGGGTATAGATGAAGAACTACAACAAGTATCTGGTTCAGAAATACCATTTTCTAATGCATCAACCAACTGAGAATCCCATTGACCTATAATAAACAGTATTAATATGATAATAAAACAAATTCTGAATAACAAATGGGTTTCAATACTATACCTGCATGTTTTAACAGAATAAGATTGACTTTTTCTAATTCCTTGCGCAAACATTCATTTTGTTGTTCTAGATTTTGTTTTTCTCTTTTTATACTACTGTTTTCTTTTAGTACATGATCTAAATTGTCTTTTAACAACTTGGCTTCTTCTCTTGCTTTATTTCTTTCGTTTCTCACCTAGAGATAGAAATAAAAATTATAACGCTTGTACAATCACTCACACAGAATCAACAAATGTTGATATAAAAAATACCTTGCTCCATTTTTCACGCCAGTTGGCCGTACAATCGGACCACCATCTCATAGTCTTTTCCATTTGCGTCGCTCTAGCCCGGGCTTCATCTAGTTCGCGTTGGCGCATAGACTCTCTTGTGTCCCAATCCGACGAAGTAGCTGATGTGACAATTCCACCAGTCTCGGTCGCGGCCATTTCAACGATTTCAGGACTATTTTATTAGTTTTTCAAGTAAGAAGATATAGTTTTTTTTTATTCTTTCTTTAATTTTTTTTCACTATTAACGCGATTCAATTAGTGCAGTTGTAGATGGTAATACTAAACGAATTGACATAGCGAAAAACTATTGGACAACCACTGCGCGAAACAGCACTCAAAGGCAAAACGTTTGGATTTGCACACGACGATTCCGACATTACCACAAAACGACGAGGATTAGCGACTGGAAAATGTCAAAAATCAAAGAATATAATTGTAATCTAATTAAAAATCGAAATGCAACAAACCGAGAGCGCTAATCTCGGACTGTAACGATGACGACAACGGTGGTCGACGGAGTATGATAATAAATAAGACTTGTCGTCGTCGACCATCGTCATCAACTCTGGTTATCAATCGCGCACGCTTATCAAAGCTGTTATCGGATATATTTGGCCGCATAATACTATGCTGATATTCGTTGACTGAGTACGGTCAAATCTCGTTGCACAACAACTGCTGGTGCTGGTGTAGTCGTTCTAACCAGTTGACCTATGCTTTCACGTCGCGACCGCTGTCACTGCTGAAACGTGTCCATATTGTCTACTGCTCGCTGGATTATTCGCGATGGCCGGGTCCGCCCTGAGACGGCTGATGGCCGAGTACAAACGTACGTAGATCTGTGTGTGCAAAATAAATGCGGTACCGATACAATACCACGAACCTCAATGGTTGTGTAATACGAATTTTTTTTCCCCCTCCGCCCTATTTAGAACTGACGTTGAATCCTCCGGAAGGAATTATTGCTGGACCAATCACTGAGGAAAACTATTTCGAATGGGAAGCTCTGATCACGTATGTTACGCTGTCTTATCGGCTCTTTAGCACCTAAATAATTACATTTGTTTTTGCAGAGGTCCAGAAGGTACATGTTTCGAAGGTGGAGTGTTTCCAGCTAAACTTATTTTCCCATCAGACTACCCATTGAGTCCACCAAAAATGAGTTTTACTTGCGAGATGTTTCATCCAAACAGTAAGTGAAACAATATGTTAACATGGTGTATGTGTACTATAACATAGTTAATGGTGCACTATATAATAAATAAAAGGTATATATCTAAACATATGTTATTAGATCATCGTTATTGCTATTAAATTGTATTTTATACCTATATTTAAAGTTTCATATGTTGATTGATATTCTAATGAATAATACTTAATACTGAAATGAGACTTATTTTACTTACTATAAGCATTTATTCTAATCATTAATAATTATTTAGTTAAATGTCCAAATAATGTTTGTTTATTTTAAATATTTATTATAAAATAAAAACTGTCCATAGTAAACTTTTAAATTAACTTTAAAGTTTCATTATAAATAAATTTGAAAATAGATTAATGTAAAATTAATATAATATATACTTTATCGAGCAAATTTAAAAGTTGGTTAAAGTTAATATTATGTTAATTGTATGTTAAAATGATGAGGTGATTTATTAAATTATTAATTTAAGTTCATTAAGTTTTCAAAAGTAGAACACATCAGTAATCATATTTATTTAAAATTGTACCAATATTTTTATTTATTTAAGCAGAATTTAAATTTTTTAACATTAAAATTTGATCAAAATTATTTTTGAATTTGATTTTTTGCCATCATTCTCAAATCAGAGGTATCATTTGGTGGAGGGCAATGTGTGTGATAGCACCAATAACTTCATAGTGTTAATAATTGGCTTACCATTAATTTCTGTATATATATTTTACATAATATCAGTCTTCTTTTTACTATTTTATTATTAATATATCAATTTTTTAAGAATAATGGTGTTTAATTTGGAATTAAAGTGAATTCCTTTGTACCATATTTACCTTTTTCTCTCCAAATAGTAGTGAAATGGCTTCAGCTAGTAGCTATAGTTGCCTATAACTTATAATTATATTATTATAAGCATTTCAATGTATTAAAAGCTTATAAATTATAAGCTTTTAATACATTGAACTGCTTGCTTTTTGAAAAAACAATTTAATTTTAATTTTGATTATAATTTATAAAGAGATAATACTTACATAAATTTATATAATATATGGTATACACATATTTTTTTTAATAACCTGGTTAAATTTTAAAATTGGCCTGCCTAAAATCTTACGCTTTGGAAAAAAAACACCTACTGCCCTAATGTCAAACTTTATCTTATGACTTACATTATTATTTTTAAGTCTATTCGGATGGGCGTGTATGTATTTCAATTCTCCATGCACCTGGAGATGACCCTATGGGTTATGAATCCAGTAATGAAAGATGGAGTCCAGTACAAAGTGTTGAGAAAATCCTTTTATCTGTTATCAGTATGCTAGCCGGTAATTAATAATAGGCAGAATCCGTTTTTTTCCAAGTATCATTATTTATAATTATATCTTTATTTCTAGAACCAAATGATGAAAGTGGTGCAAATGTTGATGCTGCCAAAATGTGGCGCGAGAACCGAGATGAATTTAATAAAATAGCTGAAAAATTGGTAAGGAAAACATTAGGAATTCCAACCAATACATAAAATAGTTAAATGTTAATATGAAATAATGTTATTGGAATATTTTGCTTATAATGAACAATGACCTAGAAAAAACCACATGTATATAAACTAATTATGTTATCTTTTGAAAAATAAGTTACATATTTTATATTTTTTACATTTTATGTTAATTGAAATTGAATTATTATTTAAAATTTGGTTGGCTCTGAGACATTTATGTTAATTAAATAAATACAAAAACTCACCAATTTTATAGAGCTAATATATTGATTTATTCAAACCTTTTAATCTTAATCTTTATATCATACGATTCATAATATAATTTATGTCAAATGCACGTCATAATGATATTACAAATAAAATATTTTGTCATTAAAAATAAAACAAACAAATAATTAAATAAAATGTATATATTTTGTCTTTTTTTCCTTTAAATAATATCACTAAACACAATTCAATTCAGTATAGTAATACCTACTTTCTTACATATGATGAGTAATGGACATATACTTATTGCATAATAGCTAAAAAAAACTTGTATGTTGTAAAACATTTTTACAATAATTATAAAATAATAGAGTTAACTCTAAAATCACAATTAGTTACTTAAAAATAGGTAACAACAAAAAAAAAAGGAAAAAAGTTGAACAAACGACAAAACAAAGAAAATATTAATTTCTTTCTTCCAAATTATTATGTTAATTGTTTTACTATTAACACTGTCTTAAATAAAAGAAATATAATTGTAAGTGTGGATGAAAATGTTTTTAATCACTCAAAAAAGATATTTGTTAACATATTTGTTGTGAAATTAATAGAAAATAAATATATGTATTAAGATATTTTTCATAAGAGTTAATTGATAATTTACACATTCTAGTTATTATATCATGGGAGTTAGTGTTAAACACATTTATTTTTATAGATATAAGTATATGTATAAATTGAATTATTTTTCTTTTTAAATCGATAGTAAAAATATATATTTTAATTTAATTCAACTTGTTCTACAAGTAAAATAATATTTTAATACATTTAATATTTTACAGTTTATTGATGTGTATTTAAGGTTATTAAGGTTTAAATTTATAATGCCTATAAAATGTAAAATGTAGTTTAAAAAATAAATCCATTAGAAGACATATATGTTATTTTAGATATAAAAGCCAAAACTATATACTTATTTTTCTTTGGAAATCGTAAACATTAATTTTTTTTCATTCAAGTTTATAATTATTCAATCAAATTAAGATTTAAATTGAATAACAAGTAAAAAAAATAAATAATAATAATAATATAATTAAATACTAAGTTAATACTAAATAAGTCACAAAAAATATTGCAAATCAATAAAATGTCAGATACACCAAGTATAAAAATAAATAATCATCCAGTATAAACTAAACTAAAATGTCTTATAATAAAACCAACCATTTATCTGGTATAGAAAATGTTTTTTCTATAAATGATGATCAACAATAGTTTAAGCTCTTATGCTTTTACATTACATGTTATATTGAAAATGACTTCAGATTATAAAATAAAAAATTTCCGGGGTTTATTCTTTCTATTGATAACATTAATTTGAAATCTTTAGGTTTATTTACAAATGACATACAATTTTTGATGAATCTTGAAGAATACTTATGACTAAGATTAAATATTAGTTTGATCTATATATTGGTCTAGATATAATCAATTTATGCATTGAAAGTCTTATTTACCATTAATGTGTATATTTTTAATGAAGAATTAATAAATTTAAGGTGGTGTAAATGATATTAGATGTACGGCTGGAGTAGGAGTAGATGATTTACTACTATCAGTGCTGCCCAATTGTTCACAATAATAATGTGGGGTATTTAAATAATCAATCAGTCGTCTGGGTAATGGCAATTTATGGATCAAATCTCGACGTACCATCTTCAAAATGACAAACCTAAGTACATCAAATAAATTTATGAAAATTAATAATTTTTAATATTTTTTAATAATATTAGTATTTATCTTTCATAAATAATCCATACATTTAATAATAAAGCAAATATAATGATATAAAAATATAAAATATAAGAATCTCAAAATAAATCGAAAATAAGCTACTACAGTCAAGTATCTTAACCATATATTAATTAATATAACATTTAAAAAATATGCAAATGTAATATGAATGATAGATTTATTATTTATTCATAAAAATGTTTACAATTTACCTGCACATATGCTGCAAGCTTTGAATTTGTTTAAATCGAGACACTGGATGAAGTAACTGTACCCTCATTGGTCCTAGAATTGGCCTTCTATGCAAAAAAAACAAATATCTTCCACTACGAGAATGTTCTACAGCATTTTCAACAAACTCAACAATTGTATGACTTTTGAATTTAGTACAACTACCAAAGCTAAAATTACCTAAAATAATAAATTTGATTTCAATGTTTTATTTCATTTATAGAATGTTTTTTTTTCTTTTAGTTAATATTTTTACCTTGATCATGTTCAATTCTAACATGTCTAACAAAACCATTCAACTTAAATGTCAATGAAAATATATAATGATCATCACTACTATCACGTACAATAAACGATCCATCGGGTTCACTTGACAGTATTTTTTCAGCAGCTTCCCCTGATATTGGACCCCAATACCATCCATACTAAAATAAATATTAAAAATATCGTAAAACAAAATTGATAAATATTTAATAAATTTATCATACATCTTTAACTTTTTCAATGCTGGTAGCAAAATCCATACTAGTTTCACGTTCATATGTATCCCTATGTCCATCATCATTGGGCACTGGTGGCAATGCCCGTTTCTCAAAAGTGGTTTCTTTAGTTACATCTAAAAGCACTACAGTATCTGTTGGATTTGATCCCGGCTCCAATTCTATTGATGTATTTTTACGTGAACGAAAAATATTACAAAAAGTTTGTTTTAAACTAAAAGAAAAATTTGATTTTGTAGATGAGATGAATGGTGATGAACAAAAAATTTTTCTTGTTGAATGACTAGAACCATGACCACTTTTATCATCTGAAGTACTATTGTCTTTGGATTTTTTATGTTTTATGTTCACCAGAAGTGGATGTTTTCTGATCTTACATGTAGACGAAGCTAGTTTATTGACATTTTCTTTATTGTGAGCATTTTGTACATTGCTACATTTTGGTACATTAATAACTTGAGGTTTACTACTCTCAGTTGTATTGCTATAGATATTGTGAAGAATTGTTCGAACATCTTTAACAGTCATATGTATGGGCTCTTGAACACTGACACATTTTTCTCCAGATCTATTAAAAAATAATCATTAATACAATTTTTTTTTTTTCTTAAATGTATAATTCCTACTTTTTACTGAAAGGTATGGAATGACACTGATCTCGAAGTTTCCTCTTTTTCCTTAAAGGTCGCCGAAAAGCAACATTAAATGGGGAACTATCAATAGGTAATGTATATGTATCGCTATTAAGAGCATCATGTGAAACAGCAGAAGATATAAAATTAGAATCGTCTGAAGAAACTATATTAAATAAGGAATTATGAGATGATGAGATAGTTGATAATAAGGAATTGTTTGATCCATTTGGTAAGCGATAATTTGTTTTCCAATAAATACCTAAGTTATGATACAATTTTTGTTGCTTAAATTGCCTGAAATGAATGAAAATAAATGTTTATTATCATTAAATAAATGTATGTGTATAATATATTACCTAGTATCACTCAATGGATCTAAGTGTTTCAATGAGTCATTGATCAATGACTTAACAAAATCATCTGCATATTGTTCAACTCGAATCATACAATCATTAGTGTAAACAGGTGAACAAATATATCTACATTGATTGTCTTTAAATTCTAAAGGAGGAGAGTATACATTAAGAGAACAGCATGGTGAATCTTGAAATTCAATAGGAGGTTGAATTGGATTCTCTGATTTTTGAACACTAGGACACTTTTTCAATGTATTAAACTGTTGTGTATATGATGCATCAGAGTCATCGATTAAAGAATCCTCTTGACTTATTGATAACTCATCATCACTTTCTTTATACTAGATTTCAAACAAAATTATAACTATAAATTAAACATTTAATATATGATACATAAAAAATTTAAAATTTCCAATTAAAATATAAGCGATAAAAAATATCTAGTCTTAAAAATGATTGTATGTTTTATTTTAAGATAATAACTAACTTATAAGTACTCTACTTAAATAATCGAATAAGAAAACTATCAATTATTATTGTATCAACAATATAAGCTATCCACATTAGAAATGAATAATCAATGACAATTTAATTTCCATACAAAAGTAAATACTCAAATTTCACTTATCTTGGAAACACAATATCATGGGTTTTTTTTTTTTTAATAAATTATAATAGCACATATAAATATAATTGAATTGATTATTTGTTATGGATAATGAGTTCTGTGAATTTTTTTGTTGAGATAAGCAATAGTTAATAAGTTAATAGGAGAACAACACAACCCTGTTCATTTTAGTAACATTGGAATGCAATTAGTCATTTTTATTTATAAACATTTGAAACTTGAATAGCTGTGATTACAATATTACGTTAAAAGCAAACGGTAAGCTTACTTTGAATTGCAGCGAATGTTTATTGGAGTTGCTACTGGCAGAACTGTTTGAAAACGAACCATTGACCAACAAACCGCTGTCATCTTCACTGAGCAATAGCACTTCAGATGTCGGCGAATCCATCCCATAGTAAAACCCAACAGGATATCAACCATGCCACCAACAGCGTTTCAAGAGCCGAGACGTAACTTAGACTTGGCACAATGGTTGGACGAGTGGTTTATCGCAAACAACAATCAGTAGTGATTCCGATAACTCCATACTTGTCAGGGAGACAAACTAATGCTCGCATTTTTGGTCAGTAGCGCTAGCAAGACGTATTAAATCGGTATCGATGACGGTGATTTTGATTCTTAAAACCAGGCAGTTCTTCAGCGGTGACGAAAAAAACGTTTGTTGTTACTCCGCCAACCGAAAGAAAGGAATTATCGTAATAGTAATAATAACAATATAATGTATCTAAAGCTTATCACGCGAACTACAGAACTTTTGTGGATACAATACAGGGCTTCACAAAATGTAAGCACTTCCGGTGATACCATCAAACCTTTTGTGCTATCTATCGGTTCAATATTGGTAGACGTTTTGCGGTGTTGTTATCAGAGGGTATCCGCATTTCGGTGTTTTACACAGATATATAATATTGTTTTATATATGTCTGTGGTGTTTTACGATACTTGATGATACCGTGATACTGATAATACTCCATTTCCAATGGTTTTTAGATTTGCTGTGATTGTTCCCGACCGTATATAATACAATAAGCAAACAATACGATTTATGGTACGGTTCATGACGTATGCAATTATTAAAATTTAACCGTCGATCGGTTGGGCACTTGATACAATTCTGTAGCGCTCGTTTAATACACGCTTGATGCCGAAACAAATCATATCTCGTTCGAATGCAAACAGTCCTTTTGGTGCACGATTATTTGCTGCCCGCCCGTATTTAAGCAGTATTCTCCTATAACAGACAACATCACTATTCGTAATACGTGTATAGAAATATGGAAGATGGTAGCAATGAGTTAACCGGTGTTAGAAAAGTGGCGTTGATCACTGGAATCACTGGCCAGGTATATTATAATTTACCCATACGTATACATGGTAGTTGTGTGTTTATTATAAAATTTTAAATCTAGGACGGGTCATATTTAGCTGAACTGTTGCTAGATAAAGGATATGATGTTCATGGCATTATTAGACGCTCAAGTACGTTTAACACTGGTCGTATCAAACATCTTTATTTAGATCCCAAGTCTCATATGGAAGGCAAAATGAAACTACATTACGGTGATATGACGGACAGCAGTTGCTTAGTGAAAATTATAGGTTCTGTAAGGCCTACTGAAGTGTATAATTTGGCAGCTCAAAGCCATGTGAAGGTAGATCTGCAGATAATTATTTGTAATAATTCATTGAATAAATATTTTACCGTAGATTTCATTTGATCTAAGTGAGTATACAGCTGAAGTTGATGGAGTTGGAACACTTAGGTTACTAGATGCTATTAGGATTTGTCAGTTAGAAGACCATGTACGATTTTATCAAGCTTCTACGTCTGAATTGTATGGAAAAGTTGTGGAAATACCTCAAAAAGAAACTACTCCTTTTTATCCTAGATCTCCATATGGTATTAGTTTATATTGATAGAAATCAGTTATCTCTTAAAGTTATATTTGAATAAATTTCATAAATTTATTTCTGTTTGAATGTAACCACAGAGTTTTGTATTTTTTTTAGCATGTGCCAAATTATATGCTTATTGGATTGTAACAAATTATAGAGAAGCTTACAATATGTATGCCTGCAATGGAATTCTGTTCAACCATGAAAGTCCAAGAAGAGGTGAAAACTTTGTAACTAGAAAAATTACCAGATCAGTCGCTAAAATAGCAATGGGTTCATTAGATTGTATACAATTAGGAAATTTAGACTCTAAACGAGATTGGGGCCATGCCAAAGATTATGTTGAAGTATTAATTAAAATGTTTACATCAAAAAATGTTGACTAACTATTTTTTTCTTTCAAAGGCAATGTGGCTAATGTTACAACAGGATATGCCTCAAGATTTTGTGATTGCTACTGGAGAAATGCACAGTATTAGAGAATTTGTTGAAAAAGCATTTCAACATATTGGCAAAACAATTATATGGGAAGGAACAGGGTTAAATGAAGTTGGAAAAGAAGAATCTACCAATATTGTACGCGTCAAAGTGAATGCTAAGTATTTTCGTCCAACTGAAGTAGTGAGTACATTATTTATATTTAAATTTCTTTAAACTTTTTAAGCAAAATGTTTATTTACATACTATTTGTAGACTATTTAATTTATTGTGACTTTATGATTAGTCATATTAGTAAATTTGTTTCATTAAGTTATTACTCTTATCATATATATAAATCAATCATAAAAATGTATGATTCTGCTTAACAATTTTGGTGAATACTTTTAAAATCTACATTCAATTACTTACAGTCATCTATAGATTGTAAGCTATATGTGCAATAGTTATTAGTAATGAATAATGATTTAACTATTCATAATAATACTATGTTACTCAACATATTGAAAGATTGGTGGAAATCATTTTGAAATTTTATATTATTCCAATTGGAATGATTTGAATAACATTTGTTTTTCAACATTTAAAAATTAAAGATGTTGCGGTATGGAAGTTTTCTTGATCCTTAAATGGCCAGATTATTTCTTGGAAATATGTTGTATTCAACATTCATATTTTTTTATATTTTTAATTTATTTTTACTAATTGTATTTGATGATCAATCCTTATGATTGGACATTTGGTTAATCCTTAAAATCATTAATCCTTAGTGCTTAATGTTATTTTAAACAAATAAATAAATGCAATTGAAGTAGAACTGAAAGGGTGAAGCTGCGTAATATTGTGATATAATAATATATGATTTATTCAACGTTATAGAAAAATAATATCCAGAAAATTTTTTTTTTATAAATGTTTACTGATTTAATAGTAAATGCTTAAAATATAATATTTTCCAAGAGTAGTTTTTGTTATGAATACTTGTGTCATATTATAAAATATTAAAAAATGTTGATATTATTATTAACTTAAATTATTTTAAATATTTTTATATAATTTGAGTGGAAATAAAAATTATGAATTTTTTTTTCATTTAATATTATTATATTTAAATATGTTGTATACATTTTGTTTTATTAATTAATATTAATTATATTTTATCAGAGGTATAATTATATATTATTTATATTGGGTTTTTATAAGACTTCCAGAAAACAAATGCTTTTGGTCCAAAAAAGGATAGATATGTATCTATCATGGGTGGTTAAATGAAATATATGCAATATGCTTTTAATTACAAATTATAATTGATTTACAAGTTTATGTAATATTGTCTATAGCAGGAATAATAAATATTTTTAAGAAACCAGTGATAATACTATTATAATAGTTAGGTAAAAAAAAAAAATTAAGATGGCTAGGTGATTTTATAAAAAAAACCGCCTTGAGTTTTAAAAATTTAAATAGTCACTATATTGAACAGTTAAAAGGATAGAAATTCACCATAAAATATGTTTACAAAATATTTTTATCATGGATACTATTTTTCTTTTTACTACCTATCTACTTCATTATTAAAAACTTGACAATTTTGAATAAGAATGAATGATGTATTATCATATTTACAGATACTTAAAATGTACACAAATTAGTTTTTTTTTAAATATATTCCAACTTAAACTAAATTCCAATTTTAATAAAACCCAAAGCCCATATAACAAAAATACTCGAGGTGTTGTTAAAAGCTCATGGTTATTCACATTGTTTTTTCTCCATTTTGGTGAAAATTTCAAACAATTTACACCAGAAGATATGGTTATGTTAGATTTTCTATTTAAATAAATGTTCATAAAACTGTGCTTCTAATTTAGTATACATTTTTCTATTACTTTAATCAAAATCTAAATATATTTGAAAAATCATACTTATGTAATTTTTTAGAAAATTGAAATTTTTCTGTTTAGTTAGCTTATTTTCGAAAATGTTGATCAAATAATTTTTGGTTTCACTAAAAGTCTTGAAAATATTCAACAAAGTTTCTCATACCTACATATATATATATATATATATATATATATATATAACTGATAAAATGAAAAAAATTGTGCTTAATTTTAGCAATAAAATTTATAAAAGTTTTCATTTTTTCCGTGAAAATTGGATACAAGACTTACTTTTTACCAAAAAAAAATAAATAAATAAATAAATATATCTTTCTGGAAAGTCACAAAAAAGTTTTATAAGATCGGATGTCTCAACGAATTTCCATTAAACGATATTTGTTATTTAGTTGTTATTTTAAAAGTATTATTAGTTTTGATTCGAAACCCTTACTGATTACTTATATTAGTATTTTGAAGACATTTAATAGTTTCGAAAAATTTTAATGAAATATATGTTGTTTACAATTTACGGTTCTTTCAAATGTTATATGCCATTTTATTTCCGATCGTGGCGTCTCATTCGACTAGGAGTCTTGTTCTTGTTTTTTACATGATTTTTTTTTTATTTTTTGGTTTGTGTAAAATCCTATTTTATTCTGTGCTTTTTATTATTTTAAATAAATATGAGTACCTATCAATATTAAGTTTTTTTTACACTTGCCTAACTCATCTATTTTTCAAATACTCATTGTTCCGCTCTATTTAGTTTTAAGTATTAAAAATGAAAAATTGTACAGTGCTATTCGTATAGTTTCACAAAAATTTAAAATACAGCATTTTGATAACGAATAAATTTAAGTTTTTAAATAGTTTATTAAACTTGAAACACGTTTGTTACTTTCCGGAGTGTTATTTTATTAAATCACAATGATGTATTTATGTTCTCTCTCGTTTTTAAAATATTTTTAGTTTATTGGGTTTGATCAAGTAATATGATTTAAAGTAGTTGTCGGCAACCTTTTTATTTACGTGGGTCATATATTTTATCAGCTTTTTATCGAGAACCACACACACAATTAAAATAAACGTTATTAAAAATACAATTTTAACATATAATACTAATGTATGTACTTCTGTATAGCAACAATCATAATTTAAATTTCACATTGCGAGGTTGACCATATTAACTAATTTCGAATAAAATATATTATTAGGGTACATTTAAATATAATAATTATATAACTATATTAAAAATTATTTAATAATTAATTAATTCTTCAGTACCAAAAGATATAAATATATAATTTCTAGTCTGATTTTTAATGTTGAAATTTTCCCGCTATTTCATTTATATCAACTTTCATATTGAATGTTGATATTCTTAAAACTGCATTTACGTGTTCGTTGCTTAATCGTATATTTTGTGAGAACTTGAATACAATGTGAGATAAGCTCATAACTTATAATCGTATAAGTATAATAGTCACGATTTGATTTTATTTATTACCATTTAAGATATAAAATTAAAATTTTAAACACCATGGTATATATTTGGAAAACCGAAGAAAAAAGTTCCGTGGGTTGCCGGTGCTTGATTTAAAGAATCGCAACGCTGTTGAAATATGATTTTAAATTGTGATCATATCAATTATTATCAATGAATATTTGTTTGAATAACTAATGGCATTTTATATGAAGGGTTGGCGACGTGAGTAAGGGATGTATTGGATAAAATTGGAGGAAACTATATTGTTATTATCCATAATATTATTTTGTATTGGTTTTTTTTTTTATTTTTTTTTTTTTTGTTCTACAGTATGGTAGATTTTTTTTATATTACATGTTTCAATTTATATAATTGAACAAGAAAAAATGCATTGTTTGCAAAGGTGTTCATCTCGTTCATTGTCTGTCTGGCGTAGTATAGAATGTTTGTGTTTGGCATGTGTTTATTCAAATAACATAATCGTTCGGTTTCAACAGCACAACAAATGAATATAATGTATACTTGTTTATTATTCCCCGGCAATATAAAAGAACATTAGCTTTGTTTACAATTTCTGCAATGTGGGCCCCCGCTTGTCATTGTAGATATATTATAAAAAATACATCCGGCGGGCGTAAAATAACAAAGGCAATCATCATTGCACAAACACACATAATAATGTATTATATTGATTTGATAACAGTTTTGGATTATTACTATTTAAAAATTATAAAAAAACTTTCAGGAACTTTTGTTGGGTGATGCTACCAAAGCAAAAACCATACTAGGATGGTCACCCAAGGTGAACTTCGAGGTAAATATTAGGATTATATTTTAGTGGTGCGTATAATATTATTTGAATTTTTTCAGCAACTTGTACACGACATGATGGAAGCTGATTTAGAACTGATGAAAAAATATCCATCAGCCTAAACCCAATTCATTTAAATTGTATTCATAAAAAAAAATCCCGCTTAGTTTAATGGTATTTTTTATGATTGTGTGACAGTTATGATACTTTTTTAAACATTTATACAGTGCATTATTTTTTCTTATTGTATTTGAATTCTGTTTATTTAAAACATTTTTGATTGTATTAAGTAATTCAGAAAATCATGGAAGTGATTTGTGTTATAATTGTAATCGATGTACAATTGTTAGTACATAACTTGCACCTTTTGGTCATTTATTTTTCCTACTGATATAATTCAATTTAATATCATGCACAGTGCATTATTTATATTTATTTTAAAATACTGATAAATTTTAATTAAACTACAATATTTAAAGTATTATAAAGTTGTGTGACACGAACCTAAAGATAACTATTTTTATCAGAAAGATTTAATACATGTACTTTTATTATATTTATTATAATTTTATCTTTTATTAAAATTTGTAATTATGTTTTTTAAGTTACCATTTTGTTATATTAAGAAAAATAATAATGTAAAAACTGAAGAGAATATATTACATTCCATGTTTTCGTGACTAAATAACACAATACGTTTATATTATTTGATAACATACTGTTCAATAATAACTAATAACCATTTAATTAAACAACAACATAAAAATGATATACTATATTTTATTTCCACGTCAGGAAAAATAAAATACCTATCAGAAACATTCACGTTTATTATTTATTATTTTTTTTAATTCCTATTTTCGATTTATGTATTATAAATTTTATATATGTCAAAAAAAAAAAAAAAATCCCAATATGTAGGTATTTAATTGATGTTAGGTACCTATTTACATTTTAGTAAATAGTTTTAAACTTCAAATTATATATTATTTAAATCAAGGGAATAGGCACTATTGTATATTTTAATTGGTAATCATGTTAAAACAGGTGAGATTCAAGTCTTGCGTAAACATAATTTGTTTGAAAAATTCATTTTTTCTTTTTTTAGATAACTTCCATAAGTATTTGGATTTTGAAAATTATGTAATGTCAAAAATTAAACTCTGAAAAGAATATTTTCTCAGCTTCAGACTTAATTTGAATGAGTGAAATTGATGAAGTTTTATAAATACTTGGACCTCCAAGTTCTAACTGATTAATCGAAATATTCTTTTTAAATTGTTGGTGTTTTTGTATTTCAGTTTTAATAAAATACGTTAGGTTAAGTCAAGGATGATATTTTTAGAGGCATTAAAATCCAATGTTCGGAGCGTTCCTTAAAAATTTAACTCGCTTACGTTCACGTTCATGTTCGTTTTTTTAAAAGAATACGTTCAAGTTCTATGAAAAAATGAACGCGTTTGTTTTGCCGTTCACTTAAATTTTTTATTTTATATTTATAGAATTAAATGTGTATAAATGGAATTTTTACAAAATGTATTAAGTATATTTTATTTTATGTTTAAAACTTTTTCTTAAACGTATAGTCAATATTTATTTTCATATCATTTTAAAATGGTAAATAAATTTGAATGCCCTAAAAATCGTTAAAATTCATTAAAAATATTAACGTCGTTCAGGTTTACATTCTATTTGAAAAAAGCGAGTGTCGTTCACAAAATATGAATGTGAACGTGCGTCCACGAACGACGTTCTTTCCAAATACTGTTAAAATCTAATTCTTATATTTTTCATACCAAATAATGCAACTAATTGAAAAAAAGATGGTTACGGATTGTAATCGAAGAATACAAAGTTTAAGACCTTTCCCCCAATTTTGAATCTATGATTTTGTCAATATAAGTACCATACAAAGAATAGGCATGGTTAGTCATTGGGGTTTAAATTTACTTATGTGTACGTATCTATATTTCTTGTTTTATGTTTTTATTTTTCGTTTTTATTGAATACATTACAGCAATGCTATTACAAATTCGATACCTATACACATTTCTCTTCGTTTTAATACTAGTGTTTGTGGTTTTATGGATATTTATTATCATAGATAATTGCTGTGGTTATAATTAAATTTTGATAGCTGATTATTAAAAATATTTTTAAATTAGATTAGATAATTGTTTACCTCTGTATTATATATATATTCTATAGTTTACCTTGCCTTGGTGAGGGCTGATATTGTATTACGCTATTATTAGGCAATTGTTCCCATATGCATGCTCTATAAAATATTCTCGATTTGAGTATTCAGTTCGTGTTTGGTGGTGTATTCATTAACTCAATACCGATAAAGCTATACAAACCATATCAACAATTGGTCGGTAAATTTTGTGGCCATATCATACCCATTCTTTTTATTAATCGGTAACCACCCACTACTAGGAAACGCCGTTAAGCAATACTTTAGGTAGAATGGTTTGTTTGTACCTATCGTACTAATGAATGTTATTTAACAATGTTTGACGAGTTTATTTGAAAGTAGTTAGCAATTTCGAAAATCAGAAAAAAATTTTAACAAGTTTCAAAATGATTTAGTCTATTCTAAAATAGTCTAATTTTCCGTAGTCTATTTTTATCAAGTTTTATTTATTTATGTGTTCTGTCAACATTTAATATCTATATTATTTATGACTCTTTTAGAAAATTTTGTCTTGAGAGTAAAGTGGAAACGTAATATGCCCAAGTGATATTATTTAAAGTATTTATACTTTATTCTACATCTTTAATTTGTTTTTATATTTTACCGGCTTAAATCAAATACGAACTTCATTCGTGCCATTATTTAAAATTTCTAAAAATATAGCTGACCTGAATACTGATATTTTGGGGTTGATACTATATCTATACTTATGGAATTGAAATGGAGTGTTTTAATTCTTGTTCATTAAATCGTTATGTGTAATTATTCCGAGAATTCCTTGCAATCGATGATTCAACAACTTAATCTAGATACACCTTAATATTGCAGTACTCAGTAAATATTTTATAAATATTACTGTGAGGTCTGACAGTTACAAAAATTGCTAACTATATGTTACGTATAGATGTATCCATGAACAAGGGCAAGGCAATACACGTGGTCGTACTTTTTAAAGAAAATTTTAGTTCGAATCGAAATTAATACCGAAATTACCTACAAATATTTTGATTCGTGCAGAATATTGATTTATTATAGTCTTACAACATTATTCGACCTCTGGTGTAGACATTTATAACGGTTAAGGTTTTGAATTTTTACACTACTGGTTTTACGTATACACATTTCAGCATCTATCTCTGCTATAGTTTTTTGGTTTTCCAATATAAATATCCTAATATTTTATCGAGTAGAATTTTTTTTTTTTTTAGTCGAATGAATGTGTTACGTTTACATTTTTTGTCCTAAATTATTTGTTGTTGTTTTTTGTATCCGATTGTATCATAAACCGACAGGATTAAAAACAAAACGTGAGACCGATTAAATACCGGAAAACTAAAAAAGTAAAATATTGTACAACCTTGCACGTCCAATTGATAATTAAATATACAAAAAAATCACATAGTTGAGTTTCCATCGTTGACCTTATTTGCTGATTAAAAGTAACAAAAATGAAGCGTTGATATATATATATATATATCTTATACTATAATACGCGCACAAATTATTATTTTGCATATTATGTAATGCTTAAAAGTAAATTATGATTCACGTTAGATTGTGATTTTGCAATGAAATATTTTTTGTACCTATGTATCAAAATATGAGCCGTGGTATGTATAATATTGAATTATAAATAGTTAACAATTATTTGCCAAATGTGGTTTATTAAAATAGCTAATTACCAACGTGTATCACAAACAACAATTTAAATAAAAATAAAGAAAATTCAGTTTACTGTGTGTAACGCAACAGTTATTCAACTGAATTGTTAACCTTAGGTTTCTTGTGAGTTTCAGTCACCAAGACCACCTCTTCAAACAAACTTTCCGCCATCTCTCTTTGTTCCTTGAAACTTCTCCCCATCGTATATTCGGTTCCACTGCTTTTATATCCTTTCTGACAGTTTTTCCATCGTAAGCGTTGTTTATCTAATAATAACCTTGATATTACGTTATAAAAGTTAGCCGATATTGAAAAGCAGGTAGAAATTAAACCCTAAGAAAACCCATGGTCATTTTAATAATTTTAATATATAAAATGTGTCAAAATACATGCGTATACGATTAATTAACTTAATATCAAAACATTTTTTAATATATCACTATATAGATTTTAAAAAGTATTTTTTCAGATGACTAAGTGTTGATACCCTAAGTATGCCCCGGTCTTAATGTTCTATTGTTAGCGAAAAATAAAAAAGCTACATCACAGATAATTTTTTTCCCGTAAAAACAAAAAAAATGACTCTACTATGAATTGACATTGAATGGTTTTATCCCACTTATAATATAATTTTACGGTTAAATTACTGGTGTATTACACCCTCTTCAACATTGATTAGCACTAACAAATTATTTATATCCACGATGATTTCTATATAATTCATCATAAAACGTTTATTATTGTACCTAATTTGTTAAAATATTTATTTTTATTTTTTTAATATTATTATTCACAAATTGCTTCCCATTATATTCTAATTTTTATATATAGGTATAATACGTTTTTTACCTCTCCTTTATTTTAATAACCTCTAGACCTCTACACGAATCTTTTCAATGAGACTTAAATTTCTCAAAAAAAAAAAAAATTAAATAAATAAAACAAATAAATAAGCATTATTACGTTTTTGAACAAAACGAACGAATATAATTCCTTACAGCTGTACAAATTTAAATTCCAATATTATTTTGCTATACAAACAACAAATTACATATCTATTATGTACAATGACACACCTAGTTTAAACTTGAAAGAACGGTGTAAAGACATAAATTCGGTGTAATAAATATGAAGACATTTACCTGGATGCTATGTAAACATTACCTATGGTAACTATTAATGTTTTAAAACATCTTGAAAATCTATAATCTATGTGTTCAATGAAGTTCGAATTATGGAAAAATTACAAAATGAAATCATTTTCCAAGCATAGATGATATTTTAAACATTTTTTTACTTTCTAAGACTATCTTTGCTATTTTATTGGTATTTTTAATACAAAATTAAAAAATTGCCATAATCGATTTTTAGTAACACGTTTTGGTTTTCAAGTTATGTATTTTAATAAAACGCGAATTGTATCATCTAGAATTGATTTTTTATCGTCATTTGAATTTTTATTCATGTAATTTGTCGAACTCAAATGATACTTTCAAATATATTTATTTTACATAACAGTTTATTAATACATTTTTGTTTTTGTTTCTTATATATACAAAAAAAAGAATGTATTCTACATCCCATATCAATACTA